CAGTCCTTAAAAAGGGCTATAATAGTGGGTGCTATCATCCTTATTAAGGACTGTTCTAGTATAAGGGGGAACATCCCAGCCTGGAAACACGAAAAGCGCAGCGCCGCAGATGACCTGCGGACGCCCCGAGCAACCGGGCCCATCTCTTTGGCCACACGCCTGGGCCACAGCCCCACAGATGCTCTTGGGTTTAGGGTTTAGGGTTTAGGGGTCCCTTTGAGGGATCTTGCATTCTGCCAGACTCCTTCGGGTTAAGCACAAGCATATTGGGATGTTCCCCCTTTTTCTAACGGTCCTTAATAGGGACCATTACCAGTTGACCCCGCCATCTCAAGCCCCAAACCCGAAACCCCAAACCCGCCGCATCGAATCGCGGCCGGGGAGCTGTGCCAGGGAGATGGCCGACAAACGGCGAGGCTGCGTGCAGACCTCGCGGGCGCCCGGGTTTTTGGAGGGTTTTAGAGGGGCTTAGGGCAGCGCATCTCGGGTTTGCAGCCCTGATTCCCCCGAAAAGAGCGCGCAAACTCTGAAAACTTGGGATGTCTCACCCTATACTGGAACAGTCCTTCACAAGGAATGTAGTACCCCCTATTAGAATCCCTATTAAGGATTGGCAGCATAAGGGGGAACATGCCAATCAGAAACGTTCTAAAAAGTTGAGAAAATGCGCCGGGGGCCTCCCCAACACAATGATTTTGAGGTGTCCCTTGTGGGAGTTCCGAGAATGAAGATGATAGGATCGTGGCAGTTTTGGGGGGCAGAGCCCCTCAATTTGGGGGGGATACACCTATCTATGTCGGACCGAACTGCCCCGCATTTATTACAAAGAAGAAGCAAGGCAAGCTCCGAGTGAGCTGCTTAGGGTTTAGGGTTTAGGGTTTAGGGTTTAGGGTTTAGGGTTTAGGGTTTAGGGTTTAGGGTTTAGGGTTTAGGGTTTAGGGTTTAGGGTTTAGGGTTTAGGGTTTAGGGTTTAGGGCTAGGGATCCCAAACCCTATGTCATAAGGGCAGCTACTGGTCCCTTCATACGGTCCCAATTACCTTCTCTCAAGAGTTCTGAGGTGTGGGCCCTGGCACTTTCTGAGGTTTGTTACGGGGTAGATAAGGGGTCCCCAGTTAGGGGCCCATACCAAGGGAACATGTACTTACCCCAAACCCTAGACCCTAAACCCTAAACCCTAAACCCTTTTTGGCGACGTCATGCTAAGCTGCCCGGCTATGAGGCGCTCCGGATCGCCGGGGCGCTTGGGTGGCTGCCGGCAGAGGTGGTAGACCTTCTACCCAGATCCTCCGAAACCCCTCTTAGTCAAGGAATATACCCGAATTTATGCAAAGAATCCTTATTATGAATTAGGGTATATTCCTGAATTGAAGGGTTTTGGGAGATCTGGGTAACAGTTCTCCGAAAAAGCAGGGACAGAAACTGACAAAAGCAATGCGGTGATCAGAGCCTATTTCCGTGTTCATCCCAGGTCCTTCGTTCCCTTGCCCTAGCCAAAAAAAGTTAAGATTCTATATAACCAAAAAAGTTAAAGGTTACCTACCCAGCCCCTAGGTCCATCACTAAACGACAGCAAGACTTGGCTGGGGCAAGGGGCTTGGTCTTCGGGACCCCGGACCGACCCCGGACAACCCCCCCAAAACGCGCACAAGGGTGTGGGGTTCGCCTCAGAAGCTCTCTAGACCCCTTCTACGCGCGGGCGCGAGGCCTTCAAACATCGGAAACCAAAGGTTCCCCAAACTACCTAAAACCCTGCGCCCACAACTCTTACCCAAGTGCTACACCCTTTCTCGACTCTAAACCCTAAACCCTAAACACGCGTTGGAGCCGCGAGTCCCAATGGATTGCACTTCGGAAACGTCTCGGGTGTGGAGGGCTTATAGGGCTTTTCGGGTTTTTAGGGTCTTTAGGGCTTAGGGTTTGTAGCGTTTCAAGCGCTTGGGGTTTTAAGGGTTTTAGGGCTTCGGGACCAGCGCATAGGCTTGCCACCCGGACTGGGTTGCCAGGCATACTGCGGAACTCGGCTGCTTTTGCCACAGCCTGTCTCGCCCTGGATGCAGGTGACGCGGCGCCTTGGCGGAGTGTACCTACTAAGACTGTTTAGGGTTTAGGGTGTAGGGTTTAGGGTTTAGGGCGGCTACTTTCCTCAAGTTGAAGATCGTTGGCTTTGCGGGAAGCAAGGAACGCCGGTTCTTGCCAATGTGTATAGAGCCAGACCAACACCAGCATGGGATTTTCCCCTGTGAGCAGGCAAGAAAAGGCCCAAGTCTTGCATAAGCCGACGAAGGCTCTTGCAAACAAAGCCGGAGCCTCCGTCCAGCAGACTCACTCTTATATAGGGGCCTTCAGAATTAGAATTGGGTTTTGGTGGGGTCATTAGAGTATATTTATACAGGGACCATAAGGGAATACTACTGGTAGTTATTCCGACCCAGTTTTGTTCTCCCCTGGGCACAGCATCCTCAGAGCAGCGCTCCCGAATGGTGCGCACAATTTCGTCGCGGTGCTCATCTATGGGCAGAACCTGGCAATGAGCTGGTTGACAAAGCCAGCTTAAGTCCCCAAAGCGACATCAGTGAAGGACATCGGAGACGATGAGCCCAATTTGAACTCGCAGCTTCTGGGCTCAGGGAAAAACTGTGTGAGCGACATCCCCGAAGGAAGCCCTAACATGTCCCACTGCCTTGTTCCTACAGGCTTCTCGGCGCGAACTCCTCAGGGCAAAACCGAACCCTCCACCAAGAACCCTTGACGGCTAAGCCGTTTCGAGCCTCCAGCTCCTCCTGGTCTTTCACTTTTGGCGGCACAAGGCCCCGCCAAACTCCGAACCCTCACCCTTGACCTAATCTAAGCTCCAAACCTTGGGATGTTCCCCCTTACACTAACAGTCCTAAATAGGGATTCTAACAGGGGGTACGATTTTCCCTGTTAAGGGCGGTTAGTCTAAGGGGGAACATCCCAGCCCAAACCCCCCAAAAAACCGTTTCCTGTCCTTGGCTTGGTGAAATGCCTGGGAGGCGCAAGCGGCCGAAAACCCTGCACCCTTCTAGCATGAACCCTATGAACCCTAAACTCCAAAACCTTCTCCCCCAAACCTTAAACCCAACCCCAAAGCCTAAACCCTAAACCCTAAACCCTAGCCCTAAACCCTAAACCCTAAACCCCCAAACCCTAGCCCTAAACCCTAGAACCCGAGCCCTAAATTCCACAACCCCACTCCGCGCCTCGCGCTCCGGCCCTGGCAGCGGCTTCTGCACGGTGGAGGAGACCATGGCCTGTCAACCCACCGTCACCCTTAGGCTTGCTTAGGGTTTAGGGTTTAGGGTTTAGGGTTTAGGGTTTAGGGTTTAGGGTTTAGGGTTTAGGGTTTAGGGTTTAGGGTTTAGGGTTTAGGGTTTAGGGTTTAGGGTTTAGGGTTCGGGGTTCAGGGTGCAGGGTTCAGGGTTCAGGGTTTCGGGTTCAGGGCTCAGGGTTTTGGGTTTAGGGGGTAGGGCTTTTTGTTGGTAGGGTTTCGGGTTTAGGGTTTTGGGTTTGGGCCATATGGCTGGGGCTAGGGTTTGCGGTCTAGGGGTTGGAGCTTAGGGCTTTTCGGGCTGAATAAGGGCTCTCTATGGAGGCTGTTATAGGGCTTACAGGCTGGCGTTAGGGGGTTTACAGGCTTCTAGGTGTTGTAGAGCTTGTACAGGGCTTTTGTAGGGTCTATATAGGGCTTGCATAGATAGAAGGATTGTCAGGGCGTAGAGGTTTAGGGTCCCGTTCGGCATGGGCTACCCTAAACCCTAAACCCTAAACCCCCCTAGGTTCCCCTCTTAAATGAGCAGCCGGAATAATGGGGAGGGGAACCTAGCTAGGCGGGTAGTATAATCGAGGGGCGGAGTCGGGGAACCCATGATACTCCCGCCCCCGAAAGATATACATCTTATTCTCCTGGGCTGCGGACTTTTGCAGGCCGCATGAATACATGCACGTGCGGTAGACCTATACATATACACGCATGTATTACGCTGAGGTCTCCGGAGCTCTCTCTACGTGCCCTAGAGGCTTGCAACCGCAAGGAGCCTAGATCCTCTAGATGGAGGGTCTCTTCATATTACTAGGATGGCCCTGAAAACTTGAAGCCCTTCTGAAAAACATTCCTGAGTAGAACCCTTTTAAACCTGAACAGAACCCTTTTAATCCTGAATAGACCCCTTTTAAACCCCCAAGGGCGTACCTAGATTAGTTGAGGAAGGGTCAGTGGCCTTTGAGGAGGCGAAGCTGTAGAAGCCACTTCCATCAGTGCTGCCATCCCCTGGCGTTCGTGAAAGTGCGGGTTTAGGGTTTAGGGTTTCGGGTTTAGGGGGTTAGGGTGTAGGGTTTAGGGTAGGGTTACAGGCTTCAGTGATCATGTTCCCAAACCAAAGCTGATGAACCCTGCATTGGCCCTACATGCGCCTTTGCAGCCGAATAGAGGGTGTGTTTAGAGGTTAGGCTGAAGGCTTAGATTTAATATGTCCTTACTAATCCACAGCCTCCGGCACTATGCAAGGGGATCCAGCACCTGGGTTCCCAGGCCGGTGGACTGATAACTAGCGATTTCGATGATGTCATACTACTAATAACAAAAGAAAGTTTCCAAATAATAGCAATCATCCAACAAAATAAGAATATACCAATCCAACAATATCATGGGAGCACGCAGCAGGACTTCTTGCTTTGGCTTTGGCAACCTTTTCGGGCGGAAAATCGTCGTGGCAGTCTGACGACTACGGCTTGCCTGGGTGCTTTGGATCTTCAGACCGCAAGGCACCAAAGAGCAAGCCACAACTCAGCTGCCGCTTTCGGCTGTGCGCGGCCTGTACAAGCAGTTGCACACCGCGCCTAAGCGGGGCGCCCGATGATAGAACGAGACACCTCTCTCCTGTTGCGCAAAGACACCCTAAACCCTAAACCCTAAACCCTAAACCCTAAACCCTAAACCCTAAACCCTAAACCCTAAACCCTAAACCCTCGAAACTCTATTCACCGAGGGCAGCAGCAACAGCAGGTAGGGAGTGAGACCTTCTTCCAGATCTGCTTTCGAGACTTGTGCTGCAGGCGCTGGTACAGCCAGAAGGCGCAGACAAAGGCCACGGCAAAGTAGGCCTTAGTTGCTGAGTTCATAAGCCCCCCAAAAAAGTGTACACTTTCAGTTCTCTAAAAGATCATTGCATCCCAAAAAAGTGGTAAAAAAGTGTACTCCTTCAGCTACTAAGGGGCCGTGACCCCGATCCAGAAGTGATGGTAGCCATGTGGCCGGAGCAGCTCAGGAATGGTTGGGATGCCCTCCACGTCCACGAAGTTCATGCCGTACACTGAGGACCTTACACGTTGCAACCTCTCTTTGTTGCATCAAGGACATACGTACACGCTGCCCCCATAAGAGCATGCATACCCAGCCACAAGGCAGCTGAGGCAGCTGAGTTGCTGCGATCTGCACACTGGGCCCGATATCCTACTCCCTGGCTTCGGGGTACACCCTGAACCCTTTGTTTTGTTGCATCTGGGACTTCTTCTCTTGCCAGGCTGGGTGCGGTGGCTGACCCCTGAACCCTAAACCCTGAACCCAGTTGCAAAATCTGTGGATTTGGGGCACTTTGTATCTTTCCAGGAAACAGGTAGGGCTTGTCCCCAACGAGTCCGGCTCTGGGTCTACTACCGCTTGATCCTTCTTTCGGTTTAGGGTATGGGCACATTATTTGGGGTTTCCCTATCAAAGGGGTACCCATTGAGGGGGTTCGCATAATAAGGGATATTTCAGACATCTACTATTTTGGGGTGACACCCCCGATTATTGGAAATACCCATTTGGGACCCCCCCCCCCCCCCCATGTCAACAAGCGGCATGAACTGGACCGGAGTAAATAGCGTGGTCGCCGCTGTCAAAAAGAATAGCATGGAGTTCAGCTTTTCAGCCTTCACATGCCCATAGCAGTGTCGGGGTAGGGTTTAGAGTTTATCTTGAGTTCAACTACAGACTCATTGCAACCAAAGCCAAAATGAACAGGAGGGTTCAGAGTTGGGATGTTCCCCTTGATAATAGGGGGGGGGGGGGGGTACCTTAATCCCTATTAAGGCACTATTCAACCCGAAACCCTAAACCCTAAACCCTAAACCCTAAACCTTAAACCCAAGTTCAGGGTGCCGGCGCGCGCCTGCCCAGCGGCCTCATCATTGCGACACTGCATCTCCAATGCCTGCCCTCGCTCCACAGCTCGCCTTGGAGCAAAGTAGGGTTTAGGGTTTAGGGTTTCGGGCTCAGGGTTTAGGGTTTAGGGTTTAGGATTAGTTCTACTGATTTGGGATGTTCGCCCTTAGACTAACAGCCCCTTGATAGGAATTATAGTAACCCATCCCTGTTAAGGACTGTTAGATTATACTGATGTAAACAAGCTGGTATTACATATGATAGCGGTTCTCGGCCCCCAAAACAAAAAATCATAAACCCCACCTCCCCTAAACCCTATAAACCTTAAACCTTAGACCCTAAACCTTAACCCGAAACCCTAACCCCGACCCCCAACCACACCACGGGGGGGGGGGGGGGGGGGGGGAGGGAACCATTGGGGGGAGGTATCAATTGGGGGGAGGGGGGCAGCCGAACCCTCATGTTACATGCGTGTACCCGCGCGGGCGTGAATGCGTGCATTGCGTTTATGCGTGAGCACGTGTGTGCGCGTGCGTCCATATGTCTAGAGACCATATACAGCATACATACATGTAATTGCATTTTGTATGTCATGCAAGTGTAGGGAGCTGGCTATGTAAAGCCTGTGCCTGAGCTTGGGGCTCAGGGTAGGGAGAGAGAGAGAGAGAGAGAGAGAGAGAGAGCATGTGTGTCTGAGACAGAGCGCACGCGCGTATGTGCGCGTGCGTGAGCGTAATTGCCCTATAATCCCAAACCCCAAAACCCCAAACCCAAAACTCTAAAAAACAAAAAAGTCTGCGAGGCGCTCGTGCGCCGCCTTCAGCGCGTCGCACCGCTCCTGGCAGACTTAATGGGGAGTCCTTTTTTTTGGGTTTAGGGCTGAGGGTGTGTGGGTTTAGGGCTCCTGTCTTAGAATCTTGGGTAGTTGATATCAGAACTATGCAGAGATTTTCAGGAGCTCGTGTTAATGTTGGTTTAGGCTCGAGTTTAATAGGGCTCCCGGGCACAACGCCAGTCGGCAAAGCTCACGTCGCTCAAAACTCCAATGAGGCCCTTATCCTCCAGGCCCCCAGCCCCAAAACTCTACAATCTCACCCTAAACCCTAAACCCTAAACCCTAAACCCTAAACCCCAGACCCTTTAACCCTAAACCCTAAACCCTAAACCCTTTTTGACTTTTTTTGCAAAGAAAGCTGTGGCCTGGATCGCCCCTCACTCTGTCTCATCATGTCTCACCCCTTAACCCTTAAGGGTTTAGGGTTTAGGGTTTAGGGTTTAATTAGGGTTTAGGGTTTAGGTTTTAACTACTACTTGCTTGAAGAACCCCTCCCAAACTCGAAAGACAATAATCCCTAGATAGCCCTAAGAAGGAAGAATACTCTTTGATTATTTGCGGGGTTCTTTAAGCAAATAGTAACTGCGTTGCTGAGTTCAGAAGGCCCCCCCCCCCCCAACAAAAAAAAAAAAAAAGTAAAGTGTACACTTTCAGTTCTATTCGGGATTCAGTATCCCAAACAGTGTAAAGTGTACTACTCATTCCGCTACTATGGTAACTAATGCACCTTTCAACCCCGGACCCGCTCCTTCATCTGCATTGCATCGTCGTAGGCCTCCTCCAGGTGGTCGGCACAGTCCTGCCCACGTTAGGGGGGTTTAGGGTTTAGGGTTTAGGGTTTAGGGTTTAGGGTCTAGGGTTTAGGGTTTAGGTTGGGATGTTCCCCCTTATGCTAACAGTCCTTAATGGGGATTATCGGATATTCAGGACTGGATAGTACAAGGGAGAACTGCCCAACATTTAGGGGTTTAGCTAGAGTCGTACGCCTTCACACCCCAAAGTTATCCGAACTCCCATAACCCTGAAACCTTGAAGTCAAAACCCAGGCAAGCTTAGGGCTTAAAGCTTAGGGCTTAGGGTTTAGGGCTATGGTTAGGGTTTAGGGTTTAGGGCTTAAGGCTTGTGGCTTATAGGGCTTGGAGCTTCGGAACTTCTGCCACATGCCCGCCGCAGGTCTACCCTCCTCAACCCCTGAGCCCCCCTGGGTATCCCGAAGACGCTAACAGAGCCACCCTCCGGAAAGTGAGAGGGCATGCGCACGGCAACTTGCGCCCCTAAGCCCTAAACCCTTTTTAAGCACGGACTGAGGAAGCCCTAAACCCTAAACCCTAAACCCTAAACCCTAAACCCTAAACCCTAAACCCTAAGCCCTTTTCTGGGACCCTTCTGATCCTTCCAGTAGTCTGCCGAGCCCGTCGTGTGCAGGTCGTGATACTCGCTCGCTCGGCGCACCACCCGCTGCAGGCTCCTCTGTTCTTTGAGGTTCGTGACATGGCACTTTATGGTCAGGCCTTAGGGTGCCTGAAACCCTAAACCCTAAACCCTAAACCCTAAACCCTAAACCCTAAACCCTAAACCCTAAACCCGCATTCTTCGGGTTGGGTCAAGCCCTCTTGTTGCCCCAGAAGTCTGGGGGTCCGGGTACGGGGCACACTTGAAGGTTCATGGTACTTATGAACCAATTATAACTGTACTTATAACTGTACTTCTAAGCCCCTCAAGTGCCCCAATAGAGTTATAATTTGGGTTACTAAGTACCATGAACCTTCCCTAAACCATAAACCCTAAACCCTAAACCCTAAACCCTCAAGCAGAGACTGCTCCTCAGCCTGCGCGTCACGATGCCGAGCTGTAGTTGTGCAAGGCTTACCTTGGCATCAAGCTGTGAGCAAGAAAGGTTTAGGGTTTAGGGTTTAGGGTTTAGGGTTTGGGGTTTAGGGTTTAGGGTTTTGTGTGACACCCTGTTTTCTGCTCAAAGAAAGACATGGGGCCGGATCCTTTGGAGCCCTTCACACGGGGGTTTCCGAAATTAGGGGTACCTCATTGGGGTCCTGACTATGAGGGGAAACCCTGGACCTCTGAACCCTAAACCCTAAACCCCAAACCCTAAACCCTAAACCCTAAACCCCAAACCCCGAAACCCTAAACCCTCTGTCGTAAACTTTCACATACTCCCCGGGCCGCTTCTCCGAGGTCCAACAGACTCTCGTCGCCCCGCGTCCGCAGGTCCTGTCTGGGGGCAGCCGCCTAAGCCCTAAACTTCGTTGCTGAGTTCATAAACCCCCCAAAACTGCACACTTAAGTTCTATAGGGGATTATAAATAGTCCCCCAAAAAGTGTCAAGCATACTCATTCGGCTACTAAGCAAATGCCTGCAGAACCCATGTTGCAGGCGCCATTGCGGACCACACCGTGGAGCCAAATCCGCAATAGACTCAAATCCCTCGAGCACCCAATCTTCGTGAACGCTCCGACGCCTAAGAGCTAAACGCTAAACCCTAAATAAACCCTGAACCCGCCTGAACCCTAAACCCTAAACCCTAAACCCTTGCTGAGAGGCCTCCTCCAGCCAGCTCAGGCGAGCCAGGAAAGCACGGGTGACCGTCACCAGCTCGTCTGCACACAGGTCCACGACCTGGGGTGGGAAGTTTAGGGTTTAGGGTTTAGGGTTTGTGCTGGGACTTGATAGGCTACTAAGCTAGACCCTTACCGCATCCTTTACTAGGATGGCCCTTAAAGCCCTCTGACAACTATTCCTCAATGTGATCCTCTTAAACCCAGTAAGGGGGCCTACCGAGTTTACAGGTTTAGGGTTTAGGGTTTAGGGTTTAGGGTTTAGGGTTTAGAGACTCAAGAAGTGATGGCCTCGGGGCATGGGCCGAGAGGCAGTGTAGAGGAGGGAGTCGGCCCTCCGCTCCCTCAGGCGTGACCGGGTCGCCTTCAGTCCTGACTAGCCGAGTAACCCTATTGAAAATTCAGGAGCCCTAAACCCTAAACCCTAAACCCTAAAACCTAAACCCTAAACCCTAAACCCTAAACCCTAAACCCTAAGAAAGGGTAAAGGGTACCACTGGGCTACCCAGAGTCGTTGTCGAAGCTTCTCCGGCCATCCCTCGCCAAAAGTTGTGGGGCAGGTCCTTAGTCTGGCACTTGAACCTTGAAGCCACAGCTTCACCTAGACAGGGTTTAGGGTTTAGGGTTTAGGGTTTAGGGTTTAGGGTTTAGGGTTTAGGGTTTAGGGTTGCGAGGGTTTAGGGTTTAGGGTTTAGGGTTTAGGGTTTAGGGTTTAGGGTTTAGGGTTTAGGGTTTAGGGCACCAGAATGCCTACACAAGATTAGTCACTTCAAAAAGAGAAAAGCTTTCAAGGTAGTTCGGGAGAGGCTCTGCGTGTCTACGCCGGGCCCCCCGGGCCAGTCTTGGCTGAACGTCCGATCCTTAGTTGTCCAGTAACCTGGGGGAACTAAAGGTTAACCTTTGGGATTACAAGGGGATTATACTACCCAAAAAGGTTAAAGGTTACCTACTCTACTAACCCTAAACCCTAAACCCTAAACCCTAAAACCCTAAACCCTAAACCCCTAAGATGGTATAAGAGGGTCCGTCTGCGTCACGGTGATGAGCGTGTCCAGCCGTGGCGGGCCCGAGCAGAAAGCTGCAACGTGTTGGCCACGTACCCGCACCGGCTGTCGCCCCTGTTTAACGGTTAGGGTTTAGGGTTGTTTAGGGTTTCGGGTTTAGGGTTTAGGGTGTAGGGTTTAGGGTTTACGGTTGAGGGGTGCTTATGGGTTTGATTTCGCATGCGCCTTCATGCACTTTAAGCCCTGGGTTCACCTCCAGGGTCACAAGTTCTCAAGGGCCTGACGGCCGAAACCCTAAACCCTAAACCCTAAACCCTAAACCCTAAACCCTAAACCCTAAACCCTAAACCCTAAACCGCCCAGCCCTGCCTTGGATCCCTGGCCCGTGTCAACCAGGGTCAAAAGCCTTGGTAGCCCAGCAACCAGACCATCATAAGGGTACCCTTGTTGGGTTTTAGGGTGTAGGGTTTAGGGTTTAGGGTGTAGGGCTTAGGGTTTAGGGTTTAAGGTTTAGGGTTTAGGGTTTAGGGGAACCTTGACACCGAACCAAAATAGGGCAAAAGGCCGATGGGCTACCAAGAAACTCAATGGCCAAGAAATAATTCCCCCCCAGGCGGTCGATCTTGGTCGGGCACTGCTCGATCACGTCCTAAAGGCGCTGAGCTTGGTGAGCTTCCCCTACCAGGAACTCCAAGATACCTATAGCCACAGCCCTGTATGCGTCATGATATCCTCTGTGGGTGGCGGTTGGGTTTAGGACTCAAAGTTTCGGACTTTGCGGTATGGAATATTCAGCCTTGGGGTTACCCTTCTTCGACCGGGGGAGGGGGAGGAGGGCGGTTGGCAAACTGTTGGCCGCAGAGATGTCGAAGTAGGCAAGTGCGCAACACTCAAGGTGAGTGTTTAGGGTTAGGGTTAGGGCTTAAGGGTTAAGGGTTTAAAGGGTTCAGAGCTGCACAATGGCAGCATTCGCATATGAGCTTTGCGTTAAGTTAATCAGCAGCCCCTCCGACCCACCCTCAGTGCCCTTCTCACACACGCAAACAAACAAACCAAACAAACAAACCAACAAACACCCCATACAAAGAATGGCGCACCCTGTGAACCCTCAATCTTTTTTGAACGCAGACTCAACCCTCAATCCCTTAAACCATCTTAAACCCCAAACCCCCAAAATCCCTAAATCCCTGAACCCAAACCCCGAATCCCCAAGCCCCTAAACCCCAAGCCCCTAAACCCCAAACCCTAAACCCCCAACCCCAAACCCTAAACCCTAAACCCCAAACCCTAAACCCTAAACCCCTGGCCTCGACGCTGAGGGGATGCAAACTGTATTTCACCGTCAGGGCCAGCAGCAAGTGGAGGTCGAACTGAGGCCTTGGCAATTGCAGAGCTTTTTGGGGGTTTAGGGCTTTAGGGCTTTCGGGCTTAGGGCTTAGGGTTTAGGGTTTAGGGCTTAGGGTTTAGGGCCAGCAGATGTTGCACCAGAGTCTCTCCACAACCGCAGACGACATGTTGGCAATTAAGCGTTCCGATCGGAGGCGGCATCCAAGAAATCACCAGTGTCAAGTGACATTGGGGCTTCGGGGATACCTTACTATTGGGGTCCTTATTCTAAGGGGATTAACCCCAAACCCTAAACCCTCAACCCGTATTTTCGTTAACACCCACATAGCACCTCCCCCGCCCTCGTAGCCTGGGCACATATGCACCCACCGCACCGGCCAAGTCTCCTGCCAAGGGCGTGAAGGTTTGGGGTTTAGGGTTTAGGGTGTAGGGTTCAGAGCTAATCTGAGCCTGTGGAGTGAAGGATGCGATTCCGGTTTAGGGCTGAGGGCTAAGCGATTACCTCTGATAAAGTGGAATGTTCCCTCTTCTACTAACAGTCCTTATAGTAGCCCCTTGCATAATCCCTTAGAAGGACTGTTAGTAGAAGGGGTAACATCCCAACTAATATCGGACAACACTCCTAAGGTCAAATGTGACATCGTGACAGCCCTCCACCCACCGTCCTGGCCCCCTCTGGCACCAGGCCGATGGCCGAAAAAGAAGCTGCGCATGTTGCTGGCATCGATGTACCTCCGTCAACGAGTGTACGGTGTAACAGCATTGAGAAAGAGGTACTGGGACCTATGTCAGAAAAGAGAGTGTCTTAGCCGTACATGTTTGCGCATTGACCCCTCCAGTGGTCCCCACTTTTGCTTATCGCGCCTTCTATGTGCCTACGTCACTTTGGGAAAATCACTTGCTTAAGGCCGATGAGCAAGCAGGTCCTGGGCACCGCCCCAAGCCTTCAGCCTGCATCCTGAACCCTTCACCCTCTAAACCCTTATAGGCCCTAAGCCCGAAAACCTTTTTTGAACCCTAAACCCGCCTTCAAACCCTCCAAGAGGAATGGGGAACCCTAAGCCCTAAGCCCTAAGCCCTAAACCCTAAACCCTAAACCTCAACCCTATACCCTAAATCCTCCAAACCCTTGAAAGCCCTTTATGCCCCTCGGGCCAAGGGCACTGGTCTGAGGCTTTAGAGGCGGTGTCCGTGTAGTCCACCACCTCGGAAGTACGGGTTTTTGGGGGGTTGAGGGTTTAGGGTTTAGGGTGTAGGGTGTAGGGTTTAGGGTTTAGGGTTGCTTTTGGGGTCTGGGTTTAGGGTTTCGGTGTTAAGAGTGTCAGTCATAGACAGAACAGAACACATGATGCGGCGCATCGTTGTCCCGATTCAAACTTCTCAAAAGACAGGGTGTAGGGTTTAGGGTTTAGGGCTTAGGGTTTAGGGTTTAAGGTTTAAGGTTTAGGGTTTAAGGGTTTAGGGTTTAGGGTTTAGGGTTTAAGGTTTGCCCTATAGGGTTTAGGGTTTAGGGCTCGTGTTGGGCGACTCTATGGCGCGCACAAACACCCCCCAAACCCTAAACCACCCTAAACCCCAAACCCTAAAACCCTCCGAATCTGAACCCTAAACCCTGGACCCCCAAACTCCTTCACCCGTTTTGTCGAACCCATACTGGGCCAAAACCCTTAGCCTTTGTTGAACCACTGTGGCGGAGGCGTGTGACGGGAAAGGGTCTGCGAAAGGGTCTGCGCTCAGTTTCATCATCCAAGCTTAAACCCCTAAACCCTAAACCCTAAACCCCAAACCCCAAACCCTAAACCCTAAACCCCCTTTATTGCAACGCCTAAGGAGCGGAAAGGTTGGCTCTCCAAGGCCGTGCCAGCAGGCTCGCCAGCCTGAGCCGGCCTCGTCTGCTGGGCATTGAGGTGTTGGGTGACACGTGCGTATTACTGACTAACATTGTACGACTGCTTTCCCTATTATTGTATCTTTTTTTGGGGGCTCTAAGGCTGGAAGGCCGATATGTGGTCGGATCTCGAAAGTGTGGTAAGGCGTAAGGCGGCCCCTTTTGTTTAGGGTACTCAGAGTACTGGCGCAGGAGATACAATAGAGGCTGGAAGTTGCATTGGCATGCAAGTCCGCCTCAATGCTTAAACCACAAGGCTACTATTTGCCTAAGAACCCCAACACATTTTTAAAAAATGAAACTACTTCTTACGTTTCCCTTAAAAGGTTTCTAGTTTTGGGGGGTTCTTAAGCAACTAGTAGGAGGAATCTTGCCACGTCGCCCTTACTAACCCTAAACCCTAAACCCCAAACCCGAAACCCGAAACCCTAAGCCCTAAACTTTAAACCCTAAACCCTAAATCGCCCTTACTAATCCTAAACGCTCTTCGACGCCGAAATTCAAAGGATCGTCTCGAAAGCCTGAAGGTGCAGAGTCCTCCAGGGTTTTGGGGCTTGAGGGTTTAGGAGTTTTAGGGTTTAGGGTTTAGGGTTTGGGGTTTAGGGTTTAGGGTTTAGGGTTTAGGGTTTGGGGTTTAGGGTTTAGGGTTTGGGGTTTCGGGTTTAGGGGTGGAGGGTTTAGGGGTTTAGGGGTTTAGGGGTTTAGGGGTTTAGGGGTTTAGGGGTTTAGGGGTTTAGGGGTTTAGGGGTTTAGGGGTTTAGGGTTTATAGGGTTGAGGGTTTAGGGGTTTTGGCCTGGCTGACACCCAGGACGCGAATTGCTTGGCCACCCTTCCCATGTCCCAAACTGTCGAAACAGATGCCTTCCATCTGGGGTTTACTCGGCACTATCTCTGAGTCTGAGCAACTGAGCACGACTCCATCTGGGGTTTAGGGTTTAGGGTTTAGGGTTTAGGGCAACAAGAAACCGATACCCCGAACAAGCCACGACAGCAGTCGGTCTTCCCTTTTCAGGGGTGATTGAGCAAATCACTGCCTTGCCTGCCAGTCCCGCTCACGCGCTCGAAGACCTTAGCCAGAGTCCCATTGTCCTTGGCTGCAGACCACTAAACCCTAACCCTAAACCCTTTTTTAAATCCAGGCTCTGAGCATCAGCTGGGACCCTAAACCCTAAACCCTAAACCCTCGCACGCCGGAAAAAGCTCTGAGTCCCCAAGCCTCAAACCCTTCAACCCTTACCTCTGGGTTTCCTTCGCACCCAGAGAGCTTTACGGGTTTAGTTTCGAGGACCCTAACATTCCCCCCTGAGGGTTTAGGGTTTAGGGTTTAGGGTTTAGGGTTTAGGGTTTAGGGTTTAGGGTTTAGGGTTTAGGGTTTAGGGTTTAGGGCCCAGGAGCCAGACCCGCCACGCCGCAACGTTCCAAACCGATGCGGAGATGCTGCCTTTGCTGGCAGCGCTTGCATGGAGGTCTAGGGGTTTAGGGTTTAGGGTTTGGGGTTTGGGGTTTCGACTCTTTGGGGTTTGGGGTTTAGGGCTTGCTAGGGGGGGGGGGGGGTTCGGGGACACTATGAAGATGAAACTTGTATGACTATGAGTTCTTAGGGGTTTATACGGATAAGGACCCACAGAAAAATTTAAGAATTTAGGCTAAAGCCCCCCCCCCCCCCCAAGATTGGAGGTTCAACCGCCCGAGCACCCAATGCTCATGGGTAGGTGATGCAGCATGTGACACATTCGGCCGTTATAGCTGAAGGCACCGGTCTTGAATTATAGTGCGCCTGAATCTAACCTTTGTAGGGTTGGAGCTTGGCTACATGCAGAGGGGTTTGTCAGGGGGGAACCCATGATCACAAGACCAGTGAGCGCAAGCCTGGGGATTTCTCTTCCACATGGCCCTGAAGCCAGAGGAGGGCACAAGGCGTCGATCGGAGTGATGTTTCGGCGCTTGAGCTGAGGGTCTCGGAGGCGAATACAGAGGACCTGCGGGTTTAGGGAATTTTTTTGCCACCCGCCTAGCTGACACTCAGGTTTAGGGTTTAGGGTTTAGGGTTTAGGGTTTAGGGTTTAGGGTTTAGGGGTTAGGGTTGCGGCGAAGGCGCACGGTCAACATGTGGCCATTGCTGTCTGAGTCCTTAGCTTTGGAAAGTGTCTGCAGGCGCAACTGGTCTTGAAGTTGAACCCTGCACTCTAAACCCTAAACCCTAAACCCTAAACCGTTGAGCCCTACACTCTTAGGGTAGTCCCATGGTCCCTGAGTATGGGCCCTTAAACGGGACCCCTTCTCTACCCCTTATATGCCCTATACGACCCAAGCGCCCATACTTCAGAACCCTCTAAAGGAGGTAAGGGACCATATTAAGGGACCATATTTGACGACCCTTAGATACACCCCTGAGGGCTTATAGTCCAAGGTGTCCTAACATCACCCCCTTGCAATCTTCGCCAGTGGGGAATGAAGATACAACAGAAGAGTACACAATTCAAGCCAAAAAGAACACTGATTTACTCAGGGTAGATGATAAGCCTGACTAAGGGAACCTAATCCCTAAATTAAAAAAGGGGGCTAGTCAGTGTGCTAGAGTAAACTAAACCCTAAACCCTAACCCTAAACCCTAAACCCTGAACCCTAAACCCTTTTTGCAACTGGACTCCTTGCTGCCTAGGCCCTAAACCCTAAACCCTAAACCCTAAACCCTAAACCCTAAACCCTAAACCCTAAACCCTAAACCCTAAACCCTGAGCTTGGCCTGTGCTTCGGAAGCCCTGGGGCGATAAAACGGCCGAGGCTCGATGCTGGCAAAGACATCCCGCACGCGCTCCTGGGATGGCTGCAGTCGGTTTAGGGTTTAGGGTTTAGGGTTTAGGGTTTGGGGTTTAGGGTTTAGGGTTTGGGGTTTCGGGTTTAGGGGTGGAGGGTTTAGGGGTTTAGGGGTTTAGGGGTTTAGGGGTTTAGGGGTTTAGGGGTTTAGGGGTTTAGGGGTTTAGGGGTTTAGGGGTTTAGGGGTTTAGGGCTGCAAGGTCTAGGAGTACGAGGGCTTAGGACTTCGCGGCCTGCGGCCCTCGCCTTTCTTGGGCGGCTAGAGAGCGGAAAGCTCCACCGGATTCCGGCTTCGGGCAGGGTGCTGGGCAGCGGAAGGCGCAGGCCCAAGAGCTCCAGAGTCAAACCCCCGGAGCCTGCAAAGTCAGCGTAGCGCCCCACTAGTGTCCGGATTCCAACAACCCGATTGGCCCAAGGCCCCAGAACCACGCATGTTACACCCCCAGCAAAAACCCCCTAAACCCTAAACCTTTCTTTGAACCCTAAACCCTGGACCCGAAACCCAAAACCCCAACCCCTAAACCCCACACAAGGCACGGGAGTGCAGTCGAAGAATGCTTCGAGGATGTTCTCCTTGGTGGCGGAAGGAAAGCTCCACCCGGGGATACCCTTAAACTAAGGGGTAATATAGGGTTTAGGGTTTAGGATTTAGGGTTTAGGATTTAGGGTTTAGGATTTAGGGTTTAGGGTTTGAGCATACACAAAGACGATGGGGTAATATAGGGGCCTTAATAACTAGAGTAGGGTTTTGGGGTTGTTCTCGCATCGGTATAAAGGGGCCATAAGGGGACACTACTAGTAATTATTCGACCCCTATTGTATGTCCCTACAATCTCCTGATGGACTCACTGGTTCTTGCCCCCAGACACCTGCACAAAGGGCTACAAATACTTGATTCCCGAACTCCCCAGTCCCTGAGTTTTTAGACACCTACACCCGAAACCCGAAACCCGAAACCCAAATCATTTCCTACATTTCCCAAGGGGCCTCTAGTTCAGGGTATCGGGATCTCGCTCACATGCCGTCCGGGAGGCGCGCACGTCCACGTCCAACAAGCCCTCCACCTGCCCCTGCGCCAACCTGGGTTCTCAATCCTAAACCCTAAACCCTAAACCCTAAACCCTAAACTCTAAACTCTAAACCCTAAACCCTAAACCCACCCTGAGCAAAACCCAGGATGGTTCGGGGTGGACTTAAGGATGGTGCAAAAGACGACCAAAGTTCTAACCTCTCTGTTCGTGGGTCTCAGTCATGAGATACCCCAAAATAACCCTCATGGCCCCAAATAGTGTACCCCGTGTTTCAGAGACCCTGATGTGGGGGGATCCCTTTCATGGAACTAAGGTAGATGTCTTAACCAAGCTCCCCTAAACTAACTAAACCCTAAACCCTAAACCCTAATTAAACCCTAAACCCTAAACCCTGAACCCTAAACCCTAAACCCTCCTAAACCCTGAGCTCGGCTCTCTGCATCCTCTGCCGGGCCGCAAGGAATCCGAGACACCATTGACCGAGGCTGAGGAAGAAAAGCAGCTGCACCAGAAGTCTGCCTCCAACTCATTACGTTCACATCTGGAGGTTTAGGGTTTAGGGTTTAAGGGCTTTCGGGGTTTGGGGTTTAGGGTGACCCCGAAAGCCTAAAACCTTCAAACCTGTACCACCTCTGCGTCGTTTCCTCACGTTGCATCTCATCATGTCCCTGTCCCACATGAATCCCCGAACTGGCATCAAGCACTAAACCCTAAACCCTAAACCCTAAACCCTCAACCCTGCTACTAGATGGCTTGTTGTGCTAGGGCGGTTCGATGCCCAGCCCTTGTTGGTCCCGGAGTGCTAATAAAGCTGAGTTCTCCAGCATCCAAGGGAAAACCCTAAACCCTAAACCTTAAACCCTAAGCTAAAGGCTAGCGTTTGGGAATATAAAGGGAATATAAGACTCCCAAAAAGTTAAAGAATACCCCGTCTGCTACTAAGAAAAGGGCCGGTTGGGTTTAGGGCTTGGGGTTTCGGGCCTCTCCTGCGAGGGCACCTTGTTGCAAGCGGACAGCCCTCGAACTTTGTACAACCCTAAACCCTAAACCCCAAACCCTGAACCATAAACCCTAAACCCTGAACCTTGAACCCTGAGCCTTGAAACCCTAAACCCTATGCTGATCGCATCCGGCTCCATCATCCGCTTGAAGCCAGACAGGACACAGCCTAAATGTTAATTACACGGCTCAAGCCGCGTATCGTGAACCTCTAAGGCTTGTGCATCCAACCCCCCAAAAAGAAACCCTTGAATTCAACCCAGACACTCGCCCCCACACTCGGTAAACCCGCGCCTGGCCCTCGATCTCATCCAGCCTCTGCTCCTCCTGTACTAGCACCTGCCGCAGGTTGGCCTGCCCAGGTCGTGAGAGCTGATGTCTTGATTGGTTGAGGATGTCTTGCACAGGCAAGGCACAGAACTCCTTTTTCCTTCTTTTTTTGGGCAAGTCAATGCAAGCTAACCGATGTCTATGCAAAAGAAAGAGAGTGAGAAATTCTGGTGGTTTTTCACCAAAGCTAAAAGGACTGCAAGTGGCAGCTACAGTACGGGTTGCGCTGTGTTCGCGCCGTGGCCCAGGCTCGAGCCTTCTCGCCTCCAGCCATGGCGGCCCTAACGAACACCACAGGCCCAGGGCTGGAAATTGAAGAGAAGTCAAGAGTTCTAAAATCGGACGTGGACGAGAGCTCAACTGCACGTCCATCGTCCTGGCCATGGCCAACGCTTGGAGATAAACACGCCAAGCTCAGGGAAGACCGTGGTCTGCGAGCCCGTCCGGAAAGAGGTCCGAGATGCTGTCGTCGTTCTGAACCTCCTCCTCAGCCTGGGCCGTCGCCGAGGAATTCTCAGGAGTCAGCCTCTGGTCTCCATGAGCATGCCAGGCTTCGTTGGGGTCGTACTTGGTGCCATCGGAGTAGGTGATGTTCCCGATGGGGCACCACGCGCCCTTGCAGCTCGCACATTGCTGCTCATTCAATGAGCAGTAGTCATCTGCTGCTGCAATGCCCGAGATAGGATAAGCACTGCCACAAGGGTTTGCTTTGTCCTTGTAGGCTTTCACACACTTGGGCCCGGGACACCAGGTCCCTCCGCAGCCTCCGCAGCGGGTTTTTTCGGAGCACGTGGCATCCTTCGCGACGTCCTCGCATGCGCCACACATGCCAAGTGCACCAGAAGTGTTTCCACGGTAGCAGCAGATGCCATTGGTGTCCTCGGGTGGCACATACACGCTCTCCTCACGGCCGTAGCTGTCCTCCTCGACCTTGAAGTTGGATGCGTAGCCCGCCCGGCACCATTCGCCCTTGCAGCTTTTGCACGCGTCTTTGGACGAAGCGCAGGTGCTGCCATCGACGGCAGTGCCTTTGGGATACGCTGTGCCGCACATGTTGGCCGGATCTGCAGCGCTCATCACACACTTGGATTCACACCAAGTTCCCTGACACTCACCGAGACAAGAGGTCTTTCTAGAGCACTTGCTCTTGTAGGAAGCAATTGAGCTTGGGTAGCAGGTCCCACAGGTGTCCTTGCTGCTCTCCCCGCTGAAGCAGCAAGTGCCACCTTCTTCCCGCTCCCTCTCCTCCTGCCTCAGTGTCTCGTTGATTTTGCTGATGGTCTCCCCCACGTCGTCATCGTCGGTTTCGGTAGTTTCGGATTGGTCAGGGAACCAGATCTGCCCGGGGGTGTTGGCAGTGACTGGAACTGCATCTGGCTCTTCTGCATTCTCCTTGCCCGTCTCGGTGGAATTGGAACCCGAGGTCTCGATGGTGGGCGTGGTCGGCACGTCGCTGGCGCTGCTGATGCTCGTGTTGCTGTCGGAGGTGTTTGCGGACGCATTGTGCTCAGCAATCGGACTCTCAGACTGCAAGCCACGCAACTGGCGCAATGAGAGGCTGCACTCTTGCCCTTCGCAGACGTCGTCTGCAGGCAAAGCCTCCATCTCTTGCAGTGGCATAGCTGCCCAGGCAGCGAGGGCCAATGCCACCGTGACCAACTGGCGCAACATGGCGTTTGGGACTGACTAGTTCTTAAAAGGCGAGAGTGCTTCGCGTCTTGGGCCAGGCTCCGTTCATGATGGCCGATCTCCCACAGCCTTAACAGCCTGAAGTGTTGTGGCTTCGTTCACTGAAGGCCTTCTGTGGATGAAGGTCCTGGGAGCGATATTTGCAACTAGAGTTGACCAGAACGCTCCCCCCCCCCCCCCCCAAAAAAAAAAGAGAGAAAGCAACATCAAGCATGCATGCCTCGATCTCCACCCATGGTGACTTCTGCGTGTCGATGGACCTTGCAATTGGCGAAGGCCTGGACTCAGAAAGGCAAATGGGGAGGGGGGGGGGGGTTCCGAAAGTAGGGGTAGGGCCCCTTTAAGGGGATTCTATTCTATTTTCGTAGACCCCCAAATGAGAACGCAGTACAACTGCACGAGCATACGCAATGCTGGGGCAATCGGCTGAAAGCTCCGAAGGTTTCTGCAGCACCATCTCCAAAGCTCCGAAGGTTTAGGGTTTAGGGTTTAGGGTTGAGGGTTGAGGGTTGAGGGTTTAGGGTCAGAAGCAGCTGCCGACAGCAGGTCTTGCAGGCAAGCGGCGAGAACTCAGAGTACGACTTCTTGACGGATCGGTCTAAGTTGTACCTCAGCTTTGGGGTTTTGCGGAAGGTCGGAAGCCATGCCCCAAAAATCCGCCTAAACCCTAAACCCTAAACCCTAAACCCTAAACCCTAAACCCTAAACCCTAAACCCTAAACCAAAACTGGAGCTCTGCACCCCGGGTGGATAACCTCTCTCACTACACAAACCCAAACTGGGCCCTAAATGAACTCTTGGCAGCCCAGTACCCGTATCATGTAACGAAGGCGCCCTTTTTTTGTGTTTTTCTTTTTTTTTGGGGGGGGGGGGGGGGGGGGGGTTGGTTACCGTATAAGGGAACCTTGAACGAAAAAAAAGGGCTACAAAGAATTGTCCGCATGCCCTAGAGTTGCCTGAGCGAACAATTTTATCCGGGTGGGGGCGGCGGATGGGTCATGGAGGCGCTGCTTCCAAGCTGGGCTCCAAGACCCGCTAGACCCTAAACCCTGAACCCTAAACCCTACAAACTACAAACCCTAAACCCTAAACCCTAAACCCTAAACCCTAAACCGCACGCCAGCATCTTGGCACGGTGCAAGGTCAGAGGCAGGTCTGAGGTGTGCCGGTCTAAGACAGGGGGTGGCGCTGGCACGGCAGGGACCTGCAGGGAGCGGTTTTTGGGTTTCGTTTCCGCTGCATAGGGTTTAGGGTTTAGGGTTTAGGGTTTAGGGTTTAGGGTTTAGGGTTTAGGGTTTAGGGTTTAGGGTTTAGGGTTTAGGGTTTAGGGTTCAAGGTTTAGGGTTGAAGGGTTAAGTTTAGGGTTACGGGCTGGCCTGCAACCCTAGGCCCGAGCCTATGGGGTCAAGGAAGGCCGCATGAAGCCCTATACCTTTACCAGCCCTGAACCTTGAAAGCCCTCTTTTTGCATCCAGGCCTCTGGCGCTAGAGGTGAAAAGTCCTGAACCTTTAAACCCTTAAACCCTAAACCTGAACCCTCAAGCCCCCCAAACCCCAAACTTAGAAGACTCCCTACACCAGCGCCTGGCATGTCTGCGGAAGCGAGGAGAGAGACGCGGACCACTGCAACACACGTGATCGCTCCGCCATGGTGAGGCCCAGCCTGAGAGGGTTTTTTAGGGTTAGGGCCTCCAATGCCCCTTTATCAAGGCATGTTCCTTTCAGACCATAAAAAGAACCCCCTTCAGAGCTCGGTGGTGTTATAGGGTTTAGGGTTTCACACTTTGGTCATCCGCAATACGTACTTTAGATCTAGCCGTTCATGTAGACCCCAAGCAACACCGAGCCATTTTTGACAGCGGGGTTTGGGGGCTGTCCATGAGGTTTTTTTCAAACATGGGAACACCGTAATACCCGGGCATTTTGGGGGGCAAGTAAATGCAAATGAGCGGTCCCCTCTTGAAACACCTCAGAACCCCCAGAACCCTTCAAGCAACGCATGCAGCAGGGTTTAGGGTTCAGGGTATAGGATGAGCAGGGCGGCTCGCGCAGATCCTCCTTGTCCAGCTTCGCCACGTCCAATGCAGTTTCCTCAGGCCATGAACCACAGGGGCCACCTCCCCCCCCCCCCAAAAAAAAAAAAGAACATAACGCAGCCGCCCCGACACTACACCGTGAAGATCTATAGAAGAGGGTGTGGGGGTGGGGAGGAGGCTTCAGGGGTCTTAGGTTTTTGGATTCCTTTGTTCGCCCCCACCTAGCTGGCTCAACCCCAAACCCTACACCCTCTTTTCTAAAACCCTAAACCCCAAACCCGAAACCCCACAACCAATAGCAACAACTCCTAAACCCTAAACCCTAAACCCTAAACGAGCTTCGATCGCTTCGGCGTCCAGGTGCCCTGCCGCCTCTGGACCAGCACTCCACCGTGGGGCCAGCTCGGACAGCCTCTTTAGAGTTTAGGGCTTAAGAGTTCCATGTTTTAAGGCTTGAGGGCCCCTAAACCCAAACCCCAAAACCCAAAACCCTAAACCCTAAACCCTAGGGGGGGGGGGGGGGGGGTGGGTGGGGTGGACTATGATTCTTGGCATGAGCGATGCTGAATTGTGGGCGTAACGCAGCGCTGAAGAGGAGCCCCAAGAGCGCTTTCTCTCTAAGGGTGTAGGGTTTAGGGTTTAGGGTTCTCTCTCCAACTCCAAAGCCCACAAAACGCGAGCCACGACCGGCCGCAGCGGACGAGGGGCAGTTCGTAGGCCGAAGTGCTCGGTCCCTGGACCTTTGGCATGATCTCAGATCTTCCGAAACCCCCCTTAATCCCCTAATTCACAATAAGGATCCTTAGTAAAATAGTAAAAAAAACTAGGGTATATACCTTAATTAATACCCTAATTCACAATAAGGATCCTTAGTAAATAGTAAAAATTAGGGTATATACCTTAATTAATACCCTAATTCATAATAAGGATCCTTAGTAAAAATAGTAAACATTCGGGTATATACCTTAATTAATACCCGAATTCATAATAAGGATCCTTGGTACATATTCGGGTATTTACCTGAATTAAGGGGTTTCGGAAGATCTGGGATCACAGAACTTGGAACTTGACTAGGAGGATGGCCCTTGAAACCCTCTGAGAAAGATTCCTGAATAGAACCCTTTCAAAACCCAACAAGGGAAAATACAAAATATTCCAAGGGCCTTCCTAGTTGAAGTCCTTCTTGAACAACTTTTCAATCACTAACGCCTGGACCTTTCAGAATCCTACGCCCCGTCTTGGAGTCTCAAATGCCCTTAAGCTTCCCGGGAGCCACGGGACATCGGCCTCGCTGAGTTTTGGCTCTTGCCTGTTGCCTTGCAGAGTTGCAGCAGCTTGGCGAGTATGAGGCTGCACGGCCCTAAACCCTAAACCTACCTCTTGGGGGGCAATGGCTTGCTGAGCTTGTTCGCTTCGGGGTGCGCAACTGCTCGGCACGGGTTCTCACAAGGCCCTCTACTGGCAAGGCAGGAAAGCTGGACAACCGGGTCTCAAAATAAAGCCCCGGCGCTGTCGGACCAGTCTGTCCGCATGCTGCATGGGGGCATGCAGCTCCACGTCCCTTTGGACATCATCGAATTCTAGGTTTTATTATGGCCAACTACGCAGCGTCTCCGCTCTCGGAGCGAGACGCTGCGTTCATCAAAGCATGCAAAGCTATGTCAGCTATGTTGGGCAGCGAATTAAAGCTTGAGAGCAGCAGCCGCCGAAACGCAAGACATGCACTTGTATTACATCTGCATGTTGTGTCTTATTTTGACTTCTACTCTATGTCGTACCAGTATATTGCATTGTCGGCTCTATACTACATATTCTGCAAGATATATATATATATATATATGTAACTTTAGGGGTTTCGTGTTTAGGGCTTAGGGTTTAGGGTTTAGACGGTTTGGGGCTTAGGGCTTAGGGCTTAGGGCATAGGGTTTAGAAACCCTGAAACCCTAAAACTTGGGACGGTCCCTTTAAACTGACAGTCCTTCATATAGGGATTCGTACCCCCCCCCCCCCTTCCCGATTATTATCCCCATTAAGAACTGTTAGTGTAAGGGGGAACACCCCCTAAATCCTAAAATCTACCCCAAAAGCAGGCAGTGCGACGACCCCCAAAAAACCAAAAGAGATCCCCCCCCCCCTCCCCCTACCCTCCCCCCCCCCACTCCCCCCACCGCCAAGAAAAAACAATGGGTTTAGGGTTTCGGGCTTAGGGTAGAAGGTTCAGGGTTCAGGGTTCAGGGTTGAGGGCTACTTCCCTCAACCCTCTGCCTGTCTCGGTGCGGCTGGCTGGTGCCGCCTGCTGCGCCAGCTGCACCTTGAAACCCTTACTTTCAAGCGGGCAAGCTTGCTGGGGAACCCGAGCCCTAAACCCTGAAAACACTCACAAACCACCAAAAACAAAGTCCGTTCAGAGTATGGTTTAGGGTTTGGGGTTTGGGTTTGAGGGTTTAGGGATGCTAAGGGCCTTTCAGTCTTACCCGGTTTTACCCACTGCTTTGTGCCATAAACCTGCGTGCCCAAATCTACAACAATAGCTTGCTTGAGGAAGGTTCCAAGGCCTTGGGGGGGGCTCTTTCTTGTGGCTTAAGATGTGTTCCTGAGTCGAGCTAGTTTCGACGATCTGGGCAAGAGGCAGTGGTTCCAAATCTGTACCACCCCTGAGGCCCAACCTTAACACCCCAACTACTGTCCCCTGAACCCTAAACCCTAAACCCAAAACCCTAAACCCTAAACCCTCAACCCTAAACCCTAAACCCTAAACACTAACCCTAAACCCTAAACCCTAAACCCCTTGGCTCCCCGGCTGCTTGGAAGATGAGCGTGGAACTCCCGGTGCTTTCAGCCACCGTGATTTTGACCTCCCGGGGGAATTAGGGTTTGGGGTTTAGGGTTTGGGGTTTGGGGTTTAGGGTTTAGGGTATCAAGCGAGCGAGCGCAGGGCCATGACCCCGGGCCATGACCCCGGGGGCCACCAAGGGCGCAAAGCCGCCGACTCAGCTTCTCCGGGCGTCTTGGAGGGCTTAGGGTTTAGGGTTTAGAGTTTAGGGTTTAGGGTTTAGGGCTTAGGGTTCTTGAAGAAGTGGGAAACAGGCATGCTGTGTGCTGAGCGGTAGGTAGCTAAGTCAGTAATCTACAAGTGCCACGTGAGGCGAGTTTGAAAGCCCGTCTTGGGATGTTCCCCCTTATACTAATAGGCCTCAAAAGGGATTCTAGTCCCCCTATTAATACAATCCCAATTAAGCACTGTTAGTATAAGGGGGAACATCCCAAAGCCCGTCTGCAACTGAAGCCGAGCTGGTTCTGCGCATGTCGTGCCGGCCGGGCACCTGCTGGCATGCAGCGATCAGCACCTCAGTGAGGTTTTTCAGGTTTGGAGAGGGCTTTCAGCCCCGATTCCTGGGGGAGCACACACCGCAGAGTTCGGGGCTTGGGGATGCTCTATCAGCATCTCGTGCTTCGGGGCGCAGGTCTGTGAAGAATTTAGGGTGTTGGGTTTAGGGCAGGGCCAGGCAAGGGCGTACCCGAGATCCGACCCCTGTTATGCTGGAGCAAATGCCCAAAAATCATACAGCGCCCATCCGGCCTACCCACAGCGTCCTGATCAACGGCACACCTTCATCTTGGCAGCCCAGCAGCCATTTTATGATCAGGGTACCCTTCTTGGGGTTGGTTGCTGTATAAGGGCACTGAAAAGGGTACCTCTGAGCTACCAAGTCATTCCTAAACCCTAAACCCTGCAAGCCCGACCTCCTCTCTCGGCCCCCAGTCGGCTCCACGGCGTCCGCTTGACTCAGAGAGGCTGTGGCCCGGCATGCTCATTGGCACTTCCAGCCCCCTTTTGATACTTTAAAACTCCCACTTTGAAGCCATAGAGAGCCCCTCCAACAACACAAAACCAAACCCTAAACCCTAAACCCTAAGCCCTAACTGCAGGAGAGGCTTTCTACAGCAGGTCGTGGGACCCCAACCGCACTGCAAGCGGATGAGTGGTGCGATTGCAATGTGCCTGGCTTGGGAGCCGCTGGCTGTACTGACATGCGCGCTAGGGGAGAGGCTTCACAGGAGTCCGGGTTTTCTTTCATGGTCCCTCTTGTGGGTACCCTAAACATGAATTTGGGGGTCCACATAAGGTACCTCATTCCCTAAATCTCGAATAAGAACTCGTAAAGGATACTTACGTAGCGCTTCTAACATGCCCCTGGAAGCCACCAGCCCTGCACTCCTTGCAGGTGCTCCGTCGCATGGTACAGGGGTTCACGCCCGGCCTAGCTGCTCTAGTAGACCAGAATCTTTCCACTGCTTCACTGCTGTTTACATTGTACTTCGGGTGGGAACGCCCCTGAACCCAGCTCAGCTCGATCTGGCAGGTCTCAGACCCTAAACCCTAAACCCTAAAACCCTAAGCCCTAAACCCTAAACCCTAAACCCTAAACCCTACACCCTAAACCCTAAACCCTAAACCCTCCAAAGAGCTGCGTGGAGCCATCTGCCGACCACCTAGCCGAGGCTGTTTCTGGAAGGTTGTGAGGATTCGAGCTGGTCGAGCATCTCCATTCTTGAACCCCTAACCCCTAACCCCTAACCCCTAAACCCTAAACCCTAAACCCTAAACCCTAAAACAAGACTTTTTTGGGGCTCTAAGCGCTCAACCCAAAAGCCCCTCAAGCCTTCAACCCGCAAATGGCCCTCCCAAGCCCTTTTTGCAACTTTGGCTGTCTGCCCGGCTGAGGCACCTAAGCCCTAAATCCTGACTTGAAGAAGAACCTAGGGCGTTAGGGTGTCTTAGGGGCTGAATTCCCTAGCCCAAAAGCCTACCCAGTCCCTAAGTATGAAACCTGAACCCCAAGTGGCCTGCTCAGTTGGGCTACCTCATGGCGGCGCAAGGACCGCCACCCTCGTCGCAAAAGGAGGATGAGGCCCGATTTCCGGGCTTCGGGTTTAGGGTTTAGGGTTGGTTCAGACTTCAGGGTATCTCAACCTTCAGGGGCTTACGCAAGGGCTTAAGCTGTTCGGGTTGGGGGCTTAGGGTTTTAGGGTGTTTGCCAGCAGCACTGCAGACACGACGGTTTTGCGATAAGAAAGAACGAAGCAGTCGTTTCCAAAAGGGTTTCGGGTACTCGTCATGAAGACTATAGGGCTCAGGCCCAAGAAGGTGTGTGCTAACACTACAAAGTGCACAAAGGGCTGTTGCTATTGCAGCACCACTCCCCAGACGAAGTGCACGGCTTCGCAGAATTCATGGGACGTCTTCTTGACCACAAACACCCAGAACCCGTAAACCCCAAACCCCAAACCCTGAACCCTAAACCCTAAACCCTAAACCCCCAATCTGGGTCTCTGTCGGGCGGTACTTCTTGTACGGCGCCGTACTACATGGGGACCCAACAAGGGAACTCAATTTAGAGAACTGCCCGAAAGTTTAGGGGGGTTGTAGAGTTTAGGGTTTAGGGCTTCGGTTCAGGCGGGATGCCGGTGCTCATCGTTGTTGGAGATGGCAATGTGTCCAGTGTCCTGGCTCCCCGCTGATGTTCCCTCGGGCTTGGGGTGTAACATTGGGCTTCGGGTTCGGTTGAATCCATACACCCCAAAATCCCGTGATTGAGGGAAGTCTTCCTAAGAATTACGAAAGAATTCCTAATTTGACTTAAGGACTGTCACAGTCCTTGATTAAGGAGATCGGAGTCTTCGGGTTTCTTGTGTCGAAAAACAACTTCGTTGTCCAGTATCCTAGAGGAACGAAAGGTTAACCTTTGGGAATACAAAGGGAATATCAGACCTCGAAAAGGTTACAAGTTACTAAACCCTTTCCAACAGGCTTCCTCAAGTCTGCCCTCACGATGCCCCGTCCAGCAAGCCCTAAACCCCCTTCAACCAAAACCTGAACTCTGGGCGCCCGAGCTTGGGGTGGGCCCGCTAGACCCTCCCTTTCTGCGAGCAGTAGTAAACAAAGCAGGGTTTAGGGTTTAGGGTTTAGGGTTTAGGGTTTAGGGTTCATCATGAGAAGATAGCTCGTACTCGGTCAAGGAACCCAGCGTGTCATACTATACTACCAATTGCTTAAGAAGCCCCCCCAAAAAAAAATATATATATATATATATATTCTTCCGTATTAAGGGTACTATAGGGATTAACTATCTATATTCTTCTGGGGTTCTTAAGCAAATAGTAGTATTGCCCTAAACCCTAAACCCTAAACCCTAAACCCTAAACCCTAAACCATAGTATATGGTCTTGAAGACATCAACCAATGTACGTGGGGATTCATCGAAGGTCGCTTTTTCAGCGATCTCAGGAGGTTTGGCCAATTTAGGGTTTAGGGTTTAGGGTTTAGGGTTAAGGGTTTAGGGTTTAGGGTTTAGGGTTTAGGGTTTAGGGTTTATGACTATCAGAAGCCCAACTGCTGAGCAACTCCTTGACCATATTCGGGGATTATTTAGGAGTTTTAGGGTTTAGGGTTTAGGGTAGGGGTGAATAGGCATGTTAGGCTTGTTCGGCGTCGTCAGGAGGGGTTCACAGGGTTTGGAGGGTCTAGGGTCGGTTCCGCCAAGCAGCATGATTGCACGCAAGGTAGCTGAAGGTGTTGCCCTTGTCCTCGCGGATGCTACTTAACTTTGGGCTGCAGAAGCGTGCTCAAAGCCTACATTGAACTGCCATAAACAATGCGCGCAGGAGCATTTCGCTACTTAACAGCAATGCCTCCCCCCCTTCTGCTAAGGCCCAGACACCGCACAGCAACCCACAAAACCCAGCAACACGCCGTGGCCATGCATTCAACTAGGTCAACCGAGAAGATTGGGAAGGTAGCGGCGGGGTGAGGCGGTAGCTTCGGTAACCCCTAGAAGACGCAGTGAAGAAGTGGAGAACGTGGGCGACAAATGCTCTCAAAAGCCAAACCCTAAACCCTAAACCCTAAACCCTGCCAGAGGAAGCTCCGCATCCCCAAAACCCGAACATCGCCCGACATCCGCCGACTCGGCGCTCTAAACCCGAAACCCTAGACCCTCGCCTAAACGCCAAACCCTAAACTACTATTTGCTTAAGAAACCCAAAAGAACAAAAAAAGAATCATCCCTATATCCCCCTTAATAAGGAAGAGTATTTTGTATTCTTGAAGGTGTTTTGGGTTGTTCTTAAGCAAAAGGGTAGTAAACTTTCAGGAATCAGGCCTTGAAGAAACCCTCCATGACACTGGCCACCAGTGTTCCGTCCTGTACAGGGCACAGCCCGGGCTCTGACAGCGCCCATCCCCTTAGGGTTTAGGGTTTAGGGTTTAGGGTTTAGAGTTTAGGGTTTAGGGTTTAGGGTTTAGGGTTGAAGGTTGAGGGTTTAGGGTTTAAGGTTGAGGGCTTAGGGCTTAGGGCTTAGGGTTTTGGTGTCAACTCTTCTATCGTTTCTCCGATCTTCACCATGGCCATCCACGCTTTGGATTTAGGGTTTAGGGTTTAGGGTTTAGGGTTTGGGGTTTGGGGTTTGGGGTTTAGGGTTTAGGGGCGGGCTCTGGCAAGTACCCATGCAGCCGTCACACGGCTGCTGCCGGTTTAGGGGTTCGTGGAGTTTGGCGGCACAAGCCTGGTGGAACTTCGATCCCTGCGGACGGCCGTTGGACAATGCACATCATGATGGCGACTTTAGACTTGCACGGTCGCTTTCTCTTCTTTCCCCTCTCGGCTAAGGAGGGTTTAGGGTTTAGGGCTGAGGGCTTAGGGTTTTTTTAGGTTTTAGGAGCTTAGGGACTTCAAGGATAAACAGGTCCCAATTTGTCAGAGACCAGGACTCGGTTCTGTACGGTTCGGTTCTTATAGCGCAGCATGACCTCTCGTCCTCAGGAAGGGCCGATGACCTATGCTTAGTTGCTGAGTTCATTAGCCCCAAAAAACTGTACACGTTCAGTTCTATAGAGATTTTTGTATCCCAAAAAGTGAAAAGTGTGCTCACTCAGCTACTATGTATGCAAAGCAGTCAACCCTCGGCATGTCACGCCATCACGTGGGACATTGCTGTCATTGCTGAAAACTACTTCTAGCTCCGTCGAAAAGAGGCCGATTGTACAGCCAGGCACTGAAAGGCATTTCACCCGGGTGTCCTGCCGAAACACCGCCACCCTCTCGTTCTGAGTGTCCATGACGAGCAGGTTGCCTCACAAAGCCGGTGGGTTTAGGGTTAGGGGTCCCGACCCTAAACCCCAAAGCCTGAAGCTCACCCCGAATGTCCCTCAACAAAGAAGCCCTAAACCTCGAGACCTTTCTGCAACCAGCTGTGCAGAAACCTGAAAGCCCTTTTCCCTGAAACCCAGAAACTCGAATTCCGAACCTTGAAACCCTAAACCCCAAACCCCAAACCCTAAACCCTAAACCCTAACCCTCAACCCGCCAGCAGCGTCAACGGCGACGTCGTTGGGCTTCTTGAGCGCTGCCGGCCCCGCTTGCTGGCGCCAGGTCTGAGCAGAATTGGTCTTGGGGAGTTCAGGGGATGTAGGGTTGAAGGATGTGATTTTTGGGGGGTTTAGGGTTGGGGTCCAAAACTGTACTGAGACTGCAACACCTCGCGCCACAACTCAAGACGAAGAGACCCAAAGAGCCCAATATCCCTTAATTAGGGAATACTGCCTAATTTATATAGAGATCCTTAACATGATTTACGGTATATTCCTTAATTAACCCTAAACCCTTTTTGCAGCCGGACTGAGGGCGTTGCCGGAATGCTGAGGGCGCTGCCGAAATACTGCCAAGAATCCCGCAAACTCAGCACTACTGACTGAGATGCCGAACCCTAGCAATAAAAGCTTGTGGAACATACTCAAACAAAACAACCTTACCTTGATGCAAAAACTCATAATGCACCCTACGAAAAACCTGCAGGTATCCATCTGCCAGATCTTCTGACACAAGGAGATGCAGACAAATGAACTCAGCTATCATTGCGACATGACTGACCATATCTGCGAGAGCAGCATCGGTGATAATCTCCCCCACTCGGTACTGCATCACTCCTTCCTCCCGATCAACCCAAACAGCAAGAAAATCGCTGTGGTGCCCCGACTCAGAAGCTGGCACCAAATAGACACTACGCAACCATGGAACATTCATCTTATAGGGAGACTGCCACCGTGTCCAGTTGGTGGGATACACATATGCATGAGGAAGAAGGTCCTCTTGCAGGAATCTCCCTGCAGCTGTCTTCCACCCGTCGCGGTCTTGTGCCCACGTAGTCAAAGCATCTTCGACCAGTGTCAGGCACTCTGGCGTGACCGCACGTTTCACACCCCCAAAGAAATTGACTGCAGTCTGATAAAGCCACTGAACATGACTCCGCCACGGACCTATCTTACCAGAGCAGAAGTCCCTTACCCCATTGAACAGGGCTGCACGCGCTAGGTGACTACACGGTCGTCTTACCAAATGTCCCAGATACCCCCATTTCCTGATCAGAAGTTGATGTGCCCACGAGAAGTGTCGATTGACATCCAAAATGCTGTACGCGACTCTTTTACGCAAAACTTGAAGTACCATAGCCTCCTCAAAAGGGGCGTCTTCAGGGATACCAAGCTTGTACAAGTGGATCATAGCCAAGTTCTGCGCCACTCTGAGGCGTTGAATGTTGTTACAAGTGGGATCGATCAGGGGGGCATACCACAAGAAGCGGCTCGCCACATAGCGATTGAGAAATTGCAGACCCCGCACGGGCTCTCCCCAGAAGTGACACTTAATCAGCGGTCGCAGTTCCTGCAAGGCGAGATTGCAGGAGGCAATTGAATGTTGAACCAGTTTGTTGCCTGTGGACTGGTCCATCACCTCCCAGTGTTGAAAGGTCTTGCGTAGAAACACTGCTTTGTCCTCCCACTGGCATTGGCACGGCAAGGAATTCGCGGGGAAAGTGTCTCTGGGCACAGCCAGTGCGCTCGGATGGCTCACAAACCTACTCTTCTTGACGTTAACCCGCAATCCCAGTGTAGACAATGCAAGTTGTAGCTGCTCGGTCAACCTCAATGCTTGTGGCCAGTCGCGAAAGCATACAAGCAGATCGTCTATATAACTCCACAAGAAGACTCCATGTAGGTTACACTCCCCATCGGCGGCCCATTTACGCGCCAATTCATCCAGAAGCGACCCGAGAAGAACGCTAAAAAGTAAACTGGAGTGTGTCCCTCCCTGCGGGATACCACGGGTCTGTTTAATGGAGAATTGTTCCCCGGCGTACTCAAAGTGAAGAACCATGTCAGTAGATAACTGCAGCAGTCTAGCCGCTTCTAAGGACAAGTGTTCGGGGGTCTTATCCTGAAGATACTTGGCAATGGCAATGTGGGAGACGGAATCAAAAGCAGCCTCAATGTCTGTATTGAACCACAGGCTATAGCGCTTCATGACACTTTCCTTGTCAAAATAGGAGGCCGTGCAAAATAAAGCATCCAGGACCTGGCACCCCTTGGAGCCTCCCAGCTGATGTCTGGGAAACTGCCACGGAGCACTGATGCGGTGGCCCAAGATCGTTGTGTATATCTTGTGCACCGTTTCGAGCAAGTTGATGGGTCGCAGGTCCGCAGCTTTTGCAACGGCTTGTAGTTTAGGAATAAGACATACGTAGGATTGCTGATAGTCCAGGGGCTTATCCCCCGTTCTTAGAAGCAAATCAAAGTGCGTGCGAAGTGCCTCCAAACCATCTTGATGCTGTACGAGGGCCTTGTAAAACTCACCGGAAATCCCAGACAAGCCGGAACTCCTCCCCAACTTCACCTTGAATACGGCATCAAGAACCTCTTGTGTGGTGATGGGGTTGTGGAAGTACTGGGAGCCCTTTGTCAACAGTTGTTCCACAACAGTATTCACGGACTCTGAGACCTCTTGCGGATCGCTTGCTTGAAACAGTGAACTCATGCGTTCCCGAACTGCTTGCGCTGCCCCTTCACGGCCACCAGATTCTCTTACGAATGCGGCTGAGGAGGCAGGTGCTTTGGTGCGCTGTCGGATGTACCTTATGGCTGCTGCATCCCCTTTTGAGGCACGTTCTTCAAGGTCACGCCACCAGGATCGCTTGGCTTCACAGCGTTTAGAAAGGATAACCCTGGCAATCGACGCCCTAATTTCCGGGTCCTGGGTTACCTGCCGTTGTTTGCAGAGTTGTTTGATTTCCACAGGGTCGCAGTACTTCAAAGTAGGGGTTCTAACCAGGACCTCATTAGAGACCGCGAGAAAACGCTCCCATTGCTGTGTCACGTTCATGTCCTGCAGGTGGAAGCACCCTGTTGCCACATACTCAGCAAGTTTGTCCGATGCCACCATATAAGAACCACACTTGTTTCGTTTTCGGTACCTCCTATGTTTGTGTCTTCTCTTGATGTCAAAGTGCAGGGCAACTGCAGAATGATCACTGCCCAGTTCCCGCCTCGCTTGAGGATTGTCTACGACGGCGGCGATAGAACCAACACGTATAAGATGGTGATACGAAGGACTGACGAAAAAATAGTCGAATTCTGTGGAGCTGCAAGGTCCGAACCTGGTGGGAACGCCGGGTCGATACGGCACATACTGCAGTGATGAAAGAGTTGCATCAAGCAGCAGGGCTCTATGTCCCCCCACTGAAGCATTCCAGTCTCCTGCAAGCACGACATTGTCCCGAAACCGCCCACGCAAAAATTGAGTGAGCTCCACGCAGGCCCTTTCAAACTGCTCCATGTCATTATCGGAATGAGGAAAGTGTACCGAGGTAAGCCATACTTTAACACCCGCTTTGGTCATCACTCTTGCTGCAATAAAACGATCCCCTTGGTATGTGTCAATGACATGATCAAGGTAATCTTCGTGAACAGCAATCACCTGCGCCAAGTACGAGGAAGTAGTGGAGCTTCCTAAGATTGTATAGCCGCCAAGGCCGGCATGGAATTCACTTCCCAGACGCACCTCCTTAAGAGGGCCTGGGACGCTGCCCGCTATTGCTTGGAGATCCCCGAAGCCTCCAACCTCCTGCAACAACAAAACATCCGGCGCACAAAACGTTAACTCGCTCCATGCCCCAAACTTGAAAAGCGATTTCCCCTGTATATTCCAGGAGATGTAGACCAGAGTGTCAACAACGTTGTGACTCACAGGTGCTGGAGGTCAGTCAGTTTGGAGATTCGTTTCAACTTCGCCTTCTGGGCTTTCCAAGATAGACGCAATGGCAGACACATTGAAATGAAAGAGCATGTCCTCACCCTGCTCAGCCCTCCAGCGTCGTACGACGACACGGGAACCTGTGGCAGCCAAAAGAGAAGCAGCGTTTCCTGCAGCAACCCTCGTGTCACGGAGCCACACGATCTGCTTCCCCCAATCTGTGTCAACAGAATCCTTGGCTACTTGATTGCCCCCACACAGGAGTTCGAGCTTGTCTCGGGCAGCCTTAGTTGCCTTGTTCCGTAGTCTTGCAGCCAGTGGCTTAGAAGGTGACAACCATAACAAGTCCCCAGGCTGACACTGGTACTTCTCGTTGTAGGCCTCCCTTAGCCTGTAGTACCGTTCCTTTGCCTCTTCATAGGGCATGGTTTTCAGGAGCACATGTGCAACCTGTGCCCTTCGACCATAAACGACGACTTTGTCAACTTGCTCAGCATCAGCTACCTGCCATGTCCTGATGAAGCTCCACGCATCTGCATCTAGCACCCCCCGAGGGGTGTCAAGAGGCCATCCTCCCAGAACAAGGTGAGAGAAGTTCTTATCTTGCCCTTGAGGGACCCCCATGTAGTTGCGCAACCCTGGCGGCGGATCGGCTGCATCTCCAGGAGGTTCATGCTGGTAGGCCCGGCTTGCAGCCGGATGCCCGCTTTGCAGTTGACGTTGTATCCCTTCCATCTGCTCCACCAGTCTGTCTACCCGGGGATCGGTAGGGGGGGGCCTCTCTTCCAGGGCTAGCAGTCTGCGATCCATCCCACCCACAGTGGTGTGGAATCCAGCAATTGCCTCTGTTAGTTGACCCAACTGACCACCAATGTTACGTTCGATTCGCTCAACCCAGAGAGGCACAGATGCGGGATTTGCCAGGGAAGCTTCGGCCCGTTGGTTCAACATCCGGTCAAGAAGTACATCCGGGGCAGGGCTCGGGGACCGCTCTCTCTTCACAACGACCCCGGGCCTTTCGGCCAGCGCCATCTCATCATCAGAGTCGGACACAATCGGTACTTCCATGTTACGCCGCTCCCACTCCCCAAGACAAAAAAGGCAACTCGAGCAAAAACCTTGAGCCGTAGCCACCCTAAACCCTAAACCCTTAATTAAGGGGTATTGGGCTCTTTGGGGAGCTCGGCCTCAACGTCGGGCACCTGCCCACGTAGCTCCAAAGTCTCCGTATCCAGCAGCAGCACGCGGTGCTCGGCGGAGGGCACTTGGGAAAGGGGGAGGTTTAGGGTTTAGGGTTTAGGGTTTAGGGTTTAGGGTTTAGGGTGTAGGGTGTAGGGTTTAGGGTTTAGGGCTTCCGCAGCACCATTTCCGAAGGGCAAACATCTGGCGCCAGCATGAAACACCACACAGGGTTTAGGGTAATTATATAGGTTATAGGGTTATAGGGTTTAAGGTTTAGGGTTAGGAGGTGCAAGAACCCTGAGAGCTGTCGATGCAGAGTAGCAAGTCCGCGGTCGGCGATGGCCAGCACGCGATCCTTCGGAGCGCAACATGCCCCATCGCCACTTGGGGGGTTTGAAAGAATAGGGTTTAGGGTTTAGGGTTTAGGGTTTAGGGTTTAGGGTTTAGGGTTTAGGGTTTAGGGTTTAGGGTTTAGGGTTTAGGGTTTAGGGTTTAGGGTTTAGGGTTTAGGGAAAACAGACCCCCAAATAGTCGTATCCCCTTATTATAAGGGCCCCAATAAGGTACCCCTAATTCCGTAAACTGAGCTTCGGGCATGAGACTTTCGGGGAGCTGTGATCTTGTCCCTTGCTGGGGTTGGGGCCAGTTGGGGCCATCTTTTTTTCGGGTTTCGGGGCTTCGGGCTTCGGACTTTGGGCGCCGAACGGTTGGGAGTTTGAGGGCAGCTGGGCAGGTGCAGGTGAGTCCAGCGGCCCGGAAAGAACGCCTCACCGCACATGGGAATGCGCAGGCCACGAGCCTCACCGGGGCGCGCCCTCGAACGCTTTGAAAAAGAATGCCGAGTCCTCGATCACCGCCATCCCGTTCGGCGCCATAAGCTCCCAGTGTGCGCCTCAGGTTTAGGTTTTGTTTCTTGTGGTTGGGGGGTAGTAATTTATCACGCCCGCGCTAAAAACAAAATACCAATGATAAAGTAGTGTAGGGCTGAAGGCCTGCAAACCCTAAACCCTGAACCCTAAGAGAGGTTGGGCTGAAGGTCTTTCGTTTCGGGCTTATGGAATGGATGGCTTCAGATGTTCTACAAGGCTATGGAGTTAAGATCTACCGTTGAAGAGTCCGCTTAGGGAATTCGAACCTTTGCGAGTTATAAAAAAAGGCTTTTTGTTTCTCGTCCGTTTTCTGCACTGACTAACGCCTACAAAGCCCCGAGCCTCGAAGCCCTACGCAGCAAACCCCAAAAGGCCTACAAGGCCTTCTAGCTCCCAACGCCCCAAAGCAAACCATCCCCCCAAGAAGACCCTACAAAGCCTCTAAGTTGGGACTTTGCCCCTAAACCCTAAACCCTAAACCCTAAACCCTCAATAGGGATTTATCATAGGGGGTACTAGAATCCCTATCAAGGACTGCTAGTCTAAGGGGGAACATCCCAACCTCCCAACCTCTGAAGCCCCAAAACACCAAATCCGATTGCGTCTCCCAGCTGCCACCTTTTCTCTGGTCCAGGTGGCTTCCGTCCGTCAAGCTAAACCTCGGTCATACCCAGACCTTCCATAAACCCCTTAATTAAGGTATACATGCCCTAATTCATAATAAGGATCCTGAGTATAGATTAGGGTATATTCCTTAATTCTTGGTACTTAATGGGGTTCCTAGTAAGTACTTTAGCGCCCGATATGGGAGGGTTTCCGAAAATAGGGGTACCCTTTAAATTCTTGGGGTTCCTATCATGAGGATTATGCTATTTTTGGGGTGTGCTGGGGTTTAGGGTTCCCCTCTTAAAGCCAATTGACATTCATTGGGAATTGGGAATTGGGAATTGGGAATTGGGAATTGGGAATTGGGTGTCGGGGTTTGGGGTTCAGGGTTTAGGGTCCCGAAGCTAAGGGTGTAGGCTTGAGGCCCCACTTGCCAGGCAAGAGAGCTGGTGTAGCATCGAAGTCCGGGCACAGCTCACGAACACCTGGGCTTTCTTCAAAGGGCTTTTCACTTACCCTGGACCCTGGGTCTTCACGTCTAGACCGTTCAGGGTTTGGGGCCCCGGAAGCCCAACCCTAAACCCCCAACAACCCTAAACCCTAAACCCTAAACCCTAAACCCTAAACCCCAAACCCCAAACCCCAAACCCCAAACCCTAAACCCAAACCCTAAACCCTAAACCCCACCCCCATGTGTTCGAGGCACGCGGTCTCCGACCACGGCCACGCCGGAGGGGGAGAAGCGGCCTTCGCGGGGGCGAAGCCTCGACCAAGGGTTTAGGGTTTAGGGTTTAGGGTTTAGGGTTTAGGGTTTGGGGTTTAGGGTTTAGGGTTTAGGTTTGGGGCTTAGGGTTTAGGGTTTAGGGTTTAGGGGTGGGGGGGGGAGACCTCGAAGAGGGCTCTGACCCTAAAAGGGTTTGAGAGCTTGAGGTTCTAACACTTCGCTTTGCTCTGTGCATGTCTCGATGCCCCTAGACCAGCCTAACTACCTACCAGCAAAAACAGCGCCAATCCACCCTACCTGCCTAAGGCCTGGCGGGGCCGAGTTCCTAAGGTCAGCACTGCGGTCCCTTTGGGCTCAAGTCTTCGGCGTCCATCATCTGTACCTCAGCGCCGTGCAGATGTCCGCAGAAATGTAGTTTTCGCTTCAGTTCAAGCATTTTTATTCCTTCAGCTCAGTACGCGCAATACTTTCGGCACCCCCCCCCCCCCACACACACACACATACACACATTCATCACCTTCATGCCCCTTAGGCTGTCTTATACTGTCTGCTGTGCCAGGAGGGGGTTTCCATGACACAAGCACCCCGTCAGGCGGCCCAGAGATAAATCATCGCCCACATCCAGTAAGGGTTTAGGGTTTAGGGTATAGGGTATAGGGTTTAGGGTTTAGGGTATAGGGTATAGGGTATAGGGTATAGGGTATAGGGTATAGGGTTTAGGGTTTAGGGTTTAGGGTTTAGGGTTTAGGGTTTAGGGTTTAGGGTTTAGGGTTTAGGGTTTAGGATTTAGGGTTAGGGTTTAGGGGGTTTAGGGTTTAGGGAACCCGCCAAGTCACATAGCCACTTCGAAAAGCCACCAGGAGCTCGCCTCCTCATGAGGCTAGGAAGGCCATCCCAAAAGGGGTTACGGGGGCATAGGTTTAGGGTTTAGGGTTTAGGGTTTTTGAACGTAGGGATTGGGATTTTCCCCCTTGTACTAACAATCCTGAATAGGGATGATAATGGGGGGGGGACTACCCAAAGAGCGCAACAACTGCTTAATTGCTATAGGGATCCTTCATATGGTTCAAGGTATATTCCATTCCCTTAACTAAGGGGTATTCTAAATCGGTGGTACTCTAATGCCAATTCAGGACTGGTAGTATAAGGGGGACATCCCAACTTAGGGCTGTGGAGGCGCCCGGGGTCTTGAGATGTGGAGCTGCACCCCCGCAATGTCTCAAGACTCTACCTCGTGTGCACCACGGTTTAGGGCTTAGGGTTTAGGGTTTAGGGTTTAGGGTTTAGGGTTTAGGGTTTAGGGTTTAGGGTTTAGATTCGAACCTACCCCTCTCAGCTCGCGACCTATCCCACCAGCCTACATCAGCCCGTTTTTTGCTTCAGGGCGCCTGCAGCACCCTAAACCCTAAACCCTAAACCCTAAACCCTAAACCCTAAACCCTAAACCCTAAACCCTAAACCCTAAACCCTAAACCCTAAACCCTAAACCCTAAACCCTAAACCCTAAACCCTAAAACCCTAACGCTAAACCCTAAACCCCTAAACCCTAGACCCTAAACCCTAGACCCTAAACCCTAAACCCATGAAAGGCGATTCTGGCCTGGGGCGATGCAGATCTGGCTTGGCTGGCTGCCTCCCAAACTCCCCTGGGCGCGACTTGGCAGGAGGGGCTTTCAGCAGGGTTTAGGGTTTAGGGTTTAGGGTTTAGGCTTAGGGTTTAGGGTTTAGGGTGGAGGTTGGTGGGCATCTGAAGTAGGGTTCTTGGGTTGCATGGGGTGGAACGACTTCTGAAGGTTGCCCCTCCTAAAGGCAGCAGCCACATGAGGGACCGGTCCTTGTGGCTGCAAAAGCGCAAAACGCAAACGCGCGCAGAGAGAGAGAGAGAGACACACACACACGCACACAGAGACACGCACGCACACGCAAGCAAATTTCGTGACATTGCCGGCATTGAGAATCAATGTACTCGAACCCCCCTTTTTCCTAAACCTAAACCCTAAGAAAAGTTCGCTGCCATTTCCCAAATTCAGGTTCGGGAGACTCAGAAGCTTGTCAAGGAGAGCCCCTTGCGGTATTTGGGCTTGAGGTCAAGGGGGCCCCTAAACCCTAAACCCTAAGCCCTAAACCCTAAAAACCCTAAACCCTAAAAAGCCTTAAAGCCGAATAAAGCCCAAAGCCTGAAACACCTGGGTCTTGGGACCCCAAACACAGCCAACCAAGGAGACTCCAATCCATGAACTCGCAAGCCTACAGCCCTGATTAGGGTTTCGGGTTCAGGGTTCAGGGTTTAGGGTTTAGGGAGCCGTCCTGACTCAGCTTGGTGGTGAAGCTGGCGTCCCACACCTACAGAGGGTGCAGGGTTTTTTTTGGCAGGGAACTGTCTGTCCACGTCCGAACAACCTCATCGTAGAAATGTGTTTTGAACACGCAGAAAAGAGATATGCAGACAGAGCTCTCAACTGTCAGGACAAGAGCAACGGAAAGCTTAAGGTGATTGTTCTTGCTGCGTAAAGAGACGCCGAAGTTGGGTCACAGACCAGCCGAAGCTCCATCCAATTTGTTTAGGGTTTTAGGGTGTAGGGTGTAGGGTTTAGGGTTTAGGGTTTAGGGTTTGCACATGCTCGGGTTTCGACGTTCACTCTCGCTTGAGGCTGGCAAGGTCTCTGGGCCATCAAGTCGAACCGCTTCTTGGCCGCCTTTTAAGTCCTTACAAACCGCGAGCACAGACACAAACCGAAGGAACACATCGAGGGAGGAAAAAACGCTTTTTGGCGGTTGCTTGCTGCATTCCTTTCCCCCGTGTTCATCTGATTCCTTTGCGTCTCTCTTGCTAATAATTCTCTGCGTCGTTGCATGTGAGTGGAAACTCGTTCAATCCGGTTGGTTTCTTGCGGCCGCCGCCTCCGACGGCAGGATCTGCAAACTGCGCTGGATGGTTGCTTGGGCCTTACAGCTTCAACCCATCTGCAACAGGCTTGACCCGAAACCCTAAACCTTAAACCCTAAACCCCAACCCCTTTTGAACCCGGGACTGAGCCCCTAGCCGGAAAGATGGTGGTGGGTGCTTTCGCTCCCATTTCTTGCAGGCTCTGTAAAGCACACGGTCTCCAGAATGAAGCACCGAAAGTCAAGCAACGAATTCTGGCAATGAGTCGAAGCTGAGGCCATTGCACGTAGCTCACATCTTGCAAACATGCGATGCCAAGCGCAGCTGCACCCAAAACCCTAAACGGTGAACCCTAAACCCTTAAGGGCTTAGAGTTTTCAAGTCCGGGTTCCAGAAGGGCAGAAGCGGGGCGAGGATTCGGAGTGGATATGTGCGAAGAAAAAAGGGTGCCCTTTCTTGGTTTAAGGGGGGCCTAAAAGGGAACCGAACCCCCCCCCCCCTCAAAAAACAAAAAAGGGAGGGAATAGGGGCCCACTCTGGAACTCGAAGTACCCAAAAAGCCCTAAACCCTGAACCCTGAGCCCTAAACCCTAAACCCTAAACCCTGAACCCTAAACCCAAAAAGCCTAAACTCTAAACCCGAAACCCCAGAGGCGCCTGCAGTAAGCCGAAGTAGTGTGCCACCAGTAGCCTCTGCGACTTCGGGGCTTGGGGTTTTAGGGTTTAGGGTTTAGGGTTTAGGGTTTAGGGTTTAGGGTTTAGGGTTTGGGGTTTAGGGTTTAGGGTTTAGGGTTTAGGGTTTAGGGTTTAGGGTTCCTTAGTAGCCCAGTCACGATATTATGATGAGGGTAACCTTTTGTTTTGGCTGGAGGAAACCCAGAACCCAAGAAAAAGGGGTAGTTCAGTGGTTAGCGTTTAAGCGTTTAACCGTTTAAGCGTTTAACCCAAAACCCTAAACCCTAAACCCTAAACCCTAAACCCTAATTAAACCCTAAACCCTGAACCCTGAACCCCGAACCCCAAAGTTGGCGAGGCAGAGGAGGCCGAGGCCTTCGGAGCTTTCGGCGAGGGCTCTTGGCCGCTTCGAGCTAGAAACTCGGGGTTGGGAGCTTGGAAGACATGTGCAATTCTGCTCAGGTGGATAGGTTTAGGGTTTAGGGTTTAGGGTTAGGGTTTAGGGTTAGGGTTTAGGGTTTAGGGTTTAGGGTTTAGGGTTTAGGGTTTAGGGTTTAGGGATTAGGGCTTCGGGATGTTTAGGGCCAGGCTGTCGGAGGCCCCTTCGACCACTCTGAACACCCGCAGGCACGTGCACTCGATATTCGCTTGAGGGTGCAGAGAAAGCCCAGGTTCAGGGTTTAGGGTTTAGGGTTTAGGGTTTAGGGTTTAGGGTTTAGGGTTTAGGGTGTAGGGTTTAGGGTTTAGGGTTTAGGGTTTAGTGAACACAGACACGCCCCGAACCAAACCTTGGACCCGGAGCGCTCATCTTAGTTGCTGAGTTCATAAGCCCCAAGAAAGTGTACACTTTCAGTTCTATAGGGATTTATCGTATCCCATAAAGTGTACTCACTCAGCTGCTAGGTCAGGGCAAATCACTAAACCGGAAGGACGAGAAAACTTTGAGAAAGACATAGTCAAAGTCGAAACAAACCCCAGAACAAACTCTACATGATTACATGGTCCCTGAATGCGATGCCTCCCCTGCCGGTCGAATGTCAAGCCATTCGGATACCTTTGCAGAGAGACGTGTTTAGGGTCTTTGGCCTGGGTTGGACCGTACCTGCCTACGCCTGGAGGCTAAGTGGTGCAGGTCAGGGCTACGACTATAAAGATCCTGGGCTTTGTTTGAAGAAGCTGTAAGGGAAGGGCGGGGGGGGGGGGGGATATGGCATCTAGGTTCTGAGCAAGCATTGGGATCAGCTTTCGGCCGTGGCTCCGCCCTGAACCCTAGAAACTCACGGCTCTCCAGCTCTTTTACAAAGGTCTCCGGGAGCACGGACGACTAGTTGTGGGGTTGCGCGTGGGGCCCCCTCTCACTGCAGCAAGGGCGCTGGTCGCTTCGGAACTGGAACTCCGGCGCCGTGATGAGCGCGTAGTTTCGGGATGGCTCCTGCACGGCATGGGGTTTCAGTAGGGTTTTAGGGTTTAGGGTTTTTCGGGTTCCAGGGAACCAAACACGCCAGAACGGCATCTTGAAACTGGCTACCACAGTAGGAATGGACTGGTAAAACCCCATTTGCTTTTCTTTGCCTTTGTCAAACAAGCTCGCCCCGGCGTCTTGAGATGGAAGACATGCAAAAAGGCTCCACACAGAGGACCAAGGACGTGGGTCCCAGGTCGTTCCCCTGAATGTTAGCCGCGCTGAAGCCCAAATTCGGCCCACCGGAGGCCTGACGCCTGTGCCCCTGAAGCCTAAGTTCGGTGCTTAGAGTTTGAGGAGACTGTCCGTCGTCTGAACTTCGTCTTCGTCAGTTGCGCCAATTTCAAGCTTCAGACAATTGCAAGCACTACCGGCGTCATCGTGCTCGGAGTTTGATCTTCGCCGGAGAGTGGCGGGGGAAGAAATTGGGTCCAACACCTAGCCCCCAGGTTCGCGATTCAGAGGTTGGAGCTGAGTACAATGCGGGGCTTCGGGCTAAGTTGAAGCCCCAAAACCCCAATGATCTGAGAATCTGGATTCAAAGGGTCGCCTTAACTAAGAAACTCGCCCCCAACCCCAAACCCTACATCCCTTTTTTTGCAAGCCTCAACCCCAAACGGTCAACCCTAAGCCCTCAACCCGAGACCCCTAAACCCTCAGCCCTCAACCCCACAAACCCTAGACCCCAAAACCCTAAACCCTAAGCCCTCAACTCCACAAACCCTAGACCCCAAAAACCCCTCCTTCATGAGCATCACCACGCTGCCATCGGCGAGGCCCAGATCCCCAAGAGCCGCTGTGCCAGATCCCAGGGCCGCCCCGTTGAAGAGCAGGCGGAAGGCATACCTGATCTTTGGGTTTAGGGTTTAGGGTTTAGGGTTTAGGGTTAAGGGATCGTTGGGTTTAGGGTTGATGGGGGATTTGCTTTAGGGAGTTCAAAGGGCCCACAGGGTTTACAGGGCGTGTATAGGGTTTATAAAGGTCTACAGACCCTATGAACGGGCCGTTGCTGGTCTAGGGCATAGGGTTGATCAGGGACATCTTGCGGGTTCAAAGGCTTTTGAAGTTTTCGAAGGCATGCACAGCCTTTTTTCAGCCTTCTGTTCTCAATCTGACGCGGCTTCGAGGGGGGGGATCTTACATGTTACCGCAACACCGGGGGGGTGGTCAGTTGGCAGCCAGGACATGGGGGTGCACCACATGCATGAATAGGGCTTAGGTTTTAGGGTTTAGGGTTTAAGTTTAGGGATAGTGAGCACCGGGACCGGTTCCGCTTGGGGTTCAACCCTGGGAGCTTTGGACTTGCTCCAGAGTTCTTAAGGGAGGGGGGGTTCTCAAGGGGGGTATGCAACCCAAGGTTCCCTAATACTCCCCACTACTCCCTAAGGCTCTAAGTTTTTCTGAAGGTTCCCTAGTAACCCACCCTCCATGAAACCCCTCCCTTCAGAACTTCAGACGTCTGAAGTCCTCCTTGCGGGAATGGCGCAAGCCAACGGTCGTTGACTTCTCCACCTCCTTGCGCAGATCTTGCAGAGTCGCATCCTCAGGTACAGCGGGTTTAGGGTTTCGGGTTTAGGGTTTAAAGGGGTTGCAGGTAACACCCCCTCCCACCACTTCGCCCCCAAAAGCCTCGGTCCTACCTTCTCAAAAGCCTCGCAACATCCTCCCCCTGTGCGCTCAGCGGAGAGACGGCCCTGCTTGCACTCCATATATCAACAACTAGGACTCATAAAATCACGACTCTGCACCCCAACCTGCCTGTCATGTAGGAAATAGCGGCTCAGGAATGCTGTAGCCGATACCGGCATACTCCCCTACTCACTAGTAGTTAGCGCCCAGTGGTAGCTACTTCCCCTGCCCCGTGCTTGTCTACGTTCTGGCCGCGGGTACACTCCCCCGCATCTGATTGGCTGCCCTTCTTGTTGCTGCTAACATACATTCAATGCCTACGAACAGACATACCTACCCTCCACCGCCTCCACCCCCAGAGACTCCAAAACCCCTTAATTAAGGAACATACCTTACATTGTAATAGGAACCCTAATATGATTTAAGGTATATTCCTTAATTAAGGGGTTTTGGAGTCTCTGGGCCTGTCAGCAAATTGGTAGGAGGCAGAGGCGAAGAGCTGCAAACAGAAGTTCCAGCCTTCCCAACTCCGCTACTACTCAAGCCCTAGCTCGCTCCTCTCGCTCCCTCTCGCTCACTCCCTCTCCTGCTCAGGTCCTACTCCTACTCTCCCTCTGCTGTTCCTCCTTCTCCTACAAAGCCACCCGATAAACGCGCAACAACCGCTACCAAACCCTATTCGAACCTACAAACCCTAAACCCGACCAAAGCCCCAGTTCGCCCCAGAACCTTAAAGTTGTTAACCCTCAAACCCTCAAACCCTCAAACCATCAAACCCTAAACCCTAAAGCCTGTTCAACCCTACGAAGCCCTCCAAACCCACAGGTTGGCCCCAGCAGCCATCGGGACACTCACCTCGGACTCCTCGCCGCTCCTCAGAACACATGCAAGCGCCCAGAGTTTAGGGTTTAGGGTTTAGGGCTACTGGGACCCAGAGTAGGCCCTGGAAAACCAAAGGGGGCACCCTCCTTCCTAGTTTACACTTGGGTCAAGTCATGTACCTAAGGGTAGTTACACTGTCCCTTGGTATGGGCCCTCAAAAAAGGACTCCTCCTTGTACACCCCTTCATATACCCTATAAAACCCAAGGGCCCATACTTCAGAAACCTTTAAGCAGGTAAGTGGCCATATCAAGCGCCCATGTATATAACTACCCTTTACCAAGCCCCGGAATAAACAAGGGTTCCTTTTGTGGATGTTTGGGCTTAGAAGGGAACCCACCTAAACCCTAGAAAATTGGAACACGGGCCTACTCTGGGTCTGGGATTATCATCTTGTTGTATGAGAACGTTACTCTGTGATGTTTGAATATTGTCTCATAGTCATGTTGCTACTTTACAACTATACAATTATACTACCCTACATTCAAATGCTGTATACGAATACCCTCCTATAGGGTACAACATGTATGCTACCATGTGATAAATATAGTGCTTTACATTTTACAGATGCGCCACCATGACCACCATCACCACCAATTCGAGGGCTTGGGGATGGCGTGAGAAAGCGGGAACGTGCTCCCTTGTCAGAGTCGTTGATGAGTTGTTCCTAGGGGTTTGGGTTCAGGGCTTGTACAGGCGGAAGGGTTTTCTGTCGTTGCCGAGGATGGGTTTAGGGCTAACGGTCAGGATTTGCTTTCTTGGGGAGGGGGGGCGCACGTAAACCCTAAACCCTGCAAAAGCTCGACAACCCGGAAGTCTCTCAGTCCTAAGAGCCTCAAACCCACCCTACACCCGACCAAAGAGCATCTTCTGGAGGACGATTCGCATCGTGGCGGGCGTCTAAGCAGCGTGGCGGAAAGGCAAGGCAGGGGTTCGGGGTGCAGGGCTCCGACTTGGTACACTTCTCGATCTGTGTTGTGTGCTGCGTGTCTGCGTGGGTCAGCCGGGCGCATGGGCCATGCGAGGGTTTAGGGTTTAGGGTTTAGGGTTTAGGGTTTAGGGTTTAGGGTTTAGGGTTTAGGGTTTAGGGTTTAGGGTCAACACATGGGATCATGGGACCCCCAGAATGCGAATCCCCATGCCACAGCCTGGAATATTTTGCCATCCTGAGCTCTCTGCTCTGAAGGGCTGAAACACTAGCCTTAATCCCTGTTCCCCTAGGAAGAATAAGGGATCCTTTTTGGTTCATATATATAAAAGCCCATAACCCAAAAAGTAAAAAGGATCCCTAACACTGATCTAGTAGCAAGGCAAGAGGAAACAGCACGACTGCACCTGCGGACTTGCACAGCGTTGAAGATTTTTGCGGGCCAAGTCTGCACGAAACTGAAAAAGGGGCCTGAGGAGCTAGAATAGGGCTTTGGGGGGTTATTATAGTATGGTTCTACAGGGATCAGAAGGGAATACTATGAGAAATTCTTGCGACCCCTATGTTGCGACCCTTCCCCTTCCCGAGGGCCTCCATAGCTGCCTCTTCTGTCGGCAGCGCCTGGATCAAGCCCCGTAGTGACAAGCCTCTTCGCTGAATCATACCCCTGAGGGTGAATACTTGGGCCTTAAAAGTACCTCCCTAAACCCTAAACCCTAAACCCTAAACTCTTATCTAGGGTTTGGGGCCCAAGTAGGTAGGAATGAGGTACATGGACCCTTTTCGGGATAGCCTGACCCATTGCGCCTTGGGACGGCTTAGGGCTTGGGTCTTGAAATCGCAACGTAAGCAACTGCGGGGCTGAATATCCCTAGCCCCAAAAGGGTTTGCCTTTGCCTTTTCTATAATATTTGATGTATAACCAACAAGGTCAAAGGTTCCCTACCCAGTCCCAAAGACAATAGAATTTGGCTAGGCGACTCGGCACATGATTGGGGTGGGCTTCTCCCAGCAATTCGGGACGAAGGGGTTTCCCAAAGCCGAGTTCTTTTGCTGTCAGGTTCGGGCTTGGCAGCAGGCTTGGAGCGTATTTGGGCTCAGGCTCGGGGCGTGTTCACCCTTTGTAGGGGTACCTCAACCCTAAACCCTAAACCCTAAACCCTAAGCCACCGAGGAATCATCAACCCCAACCCCGCCCCGGGCCCCCAGGCTGCCTCCTGAATGAGGCCGGCGACATCCTGGAAAAATAGTCTCGGTAGCGTTTAGGGTTTAGAAATCCTAAACCCTAAACCCAAAACCCTTAGGGTTTTCTGCAAGCACTCTCTGCAGCAGCAGGCTTTTAGGGTTTGAGGTTTAGCGCTTCGTGGTTAGGGCTCAGGGTTTACCCAAGTAAGGGGCCGGAATAAGTACGAATAGTATTCTCTTATGGCCTCTTTGTGATCATACTGAGAACACCCAAAACCCCAACTTTTTTTTTCAGGCCCCTAAATTCCGCCTTGCTTGGGGAATGCACTTTAAACTTTTCTAGGGATTCTGAATGTGAAATAAGGGATATGGGTGGTGCAGACATTAGAGGGGTACCTTATTGCGGCCCTTATTTTCAGGGAATCTGACTACTTGCGGGTCTATATGTGGGGCCCTGCATTTTCGGAAACCCCATATTCCCGGACAAAAGGGTATTGGGTCGGGCTCATGAGGTAGCGGCCAGACCCTGCTTTCGAGCAGCTTGGCACCTGGCTGCCACTATTTCTGGACGTCCATCACCCTCCAACGAAAATCTGGGGCTTCTACCTTGGACCCTTAAGGATGTACCCTTGGGTTTTGGGGTCCCTTTTTAAGGATCCTTAAGGGAATGGAAGGGCCATATTAGGAGTATATTAAGGGGAACCTTTAGGGGCACAACCTTATACGGGTGCGAGTCTTCATCCCCAGAGAAGAAGCCCTACTTGCAACCCTTCGGCTTAGGGTCGAGGATGTAAGGTTTCGGGTTGGGGGGGTTAGGGTTTGAGCCCCCCAATCCCCCTAAACCTTAAACCGCCCTGGAGCTGTCCCACCTGTGCCATGGCCGAAGGAACTAGGGCCACGGGGCTGCCGAGGGCCGGAGGGCGGCTCTTCCACCCTTCAACAACACCTTGATTCCTTTCATGTTAGGGTTTAGGGTTTAGGGTTTAGGGTTTGGGGTTTGGGGTTTAGGGTTTAGGGCTTAGGGCTTAGGGTTGAGGGAGATGATGGGCTACTTTGGGCAAAGCGAATCAGGGGCTAGGGGTTTGGGGGGTCTCGATAGCTAAGCCCGATAAACCCACAAACGTCCTCGTATGGCTAGGGTTCTGCGGCCCCGGGGCAGGAGGCGTGTCTATGCGTTGGAAATCGCCTACCAGCTGGTCGAGAGCGCAGCAGCACAACGTGAAAAATCTCCGACGCATTGTATGGCACTGCCAAGCCCCACCCAGCGCGAAACCCCCAAACCCGTTTAGGGTTTAGGGTTTAGGGTTCAGGGTTCAGGGTTCAGGGTTCAGGGTTTAGGGTTTAGGGTTTAGGGTCCCTAAACCCCAAACACCTAACCCCGAACCAGGCCCTCAATGCACGAAACTGACTAGCTTGGTTTCGAGACCCTCTGCGAGAAGAATCCTAGATTTAAATCTCCTTGAAGCCCTCTGAACAAACCTTACCCAAACCCTCTGAAAAAGATTCCTAACTCTGATCCGCCTAATTAAACCCAACAACCCTAAACCCTGATCCCTAAACCCTAAATAAAACCCAACAACCCTAAACCCTGAACCCTCAACGAGTAGTTCAAGGGCCCACCCAGACCAGGGGAAGCCCCCTTCTCAGGCCTAACTTTCTACTGTATGTATCTATTTCCTTGCTTATCCTTTTTTAACCTATAATTCTATTTATGGTTCTATATCTCCATTTTTGTGTATACGTATAACATATACATCTATGTGCATATATAACCATATGAAGTGATCCATATTGCAGGGAGGGTTTCGGGGAGCAAGGGAAGTTGAGGGTTGGTTTTGCCCTCAGGCCTCTCAACGTGTTCTCAAGTGTTTCACTGAGAGTTCGACTTCAGGAGCTCGAGGGTTTTGGGTTCAGGGTTTAGGGCTAGGGTTTAGGGCTTAGGGTTGAGGGTTGAGGGTTTAGGGGCTTGAGGGTTTGTGCTCAAGGGCTTAGGCGTCTGGAGTGTCCCCAACGAGATGCTCGTCCAAGACCACCAGTTAGCACCCTTAAGCCGGTCTCAAGAACCCAAAACCCTCAACTCAACCCTTGAGCCCTAAACCCTAAACCCTAAACCCTAAACCCTAAACCCTAAACCCTAAAAAGTGGAGAGAGAGAGAGAGAGAGAAAAAAAAAAAAAAGAACTTAGGCTGCCAGCCGCTCGATCCCGGTCGTCTCGGGCCGCCTGCGCAGACAAAAGGGATTCGGGGGAGAGGAGGGGAATCCAGGGACTCATACCTGGAGGTTCATGGTACCTATGAACCAGTTAGAACTGTACTTATACATGCCTTGACAGTATAGGGCTTAGAGAGGCAGATGCTTGGGAGCTCAGTGGTTTGGCGCACTCTTGGGGCGAATTTAGGGGCGCAGGGCCAAGTGCAAAAGGGCAGTGCGCAAGTGGAACCCGAGACCCTAAACCCTGAACCCTAAAACGCTAAAGAAACCCTAAACCCTAAACTTTAAACCCTAAACCCTAAACCCTGAATCCTGAACACTGAACCCTGAATCCTAAACCTGAAGAGGGACCTGCAACCGCTCGCGGGATCGCTCGATGGCCTCGGTGCCATGTTTAGGGTTTAGGGTTTAGGGTTTAGGGTTTAGGGTTTAGGGTTTAGGGTTTAGGGTTTAGGGTTTAGGGTTTAGGGGGTTCGAGGACTGCTGGGCTCAAGGCACACGCTACAGCAGAGCACACCACAGCCAGACCTCGGACTCTCACCTAGCCGTTGAGGGTTTAGGGTTTAGGGTTTAGGGTTTAGGGTTTAGGGTTTAGGGTTGCTGAGTACCCTAGCCCAAAAAAAGTTAACCTTTCAATTCTGGTAGGATTGCATATACTCTTAAATACTAAGAGGTATCTACTCAGCCACAAAGCTCTTCCATGAAGGCACAGCCTACATCCCCAAACACTTCTTAGACCTCTCTCGATCCCCCCCCCCCCAGGGTTTAGGGTTTAGGGTTTCCCCCTCCCCCCCTTGGGCTGTCGACTGGCAGGTTGGCGCCGCAACGCTGGTCTGCCTTCGTGTTACAAGATGGGGGTTTTGGGGTTGCCCTTCTTAGGGGGTCCCGTTTAGGGGATTCTTTTTGTATTTGGGGCAACAAAAAGAGTGCCCCTATTTGGGGAAATACCCAGATAGCTTACGAGGTTTGAGGTGGCAGGATGGCTTTTTTGAGTCAAGAAGGGGAGCGTTTGCACACGTTTTGAGGGTGCGCTGACCTGAGACAGAAAAGCCCACAACCCAACACGCTCTCAAGTGCAGCGTTGAACCCCCCCCCCCCGCCGGTTGGCAGACTTGGCTTCTCATCTGCTCGGCCCGGGTTTAGGGAGAGGTCCCGACTTGGGGTCTAATAGGGAGCAAGCGGGTTTCAAAAAATAGTGGCACCTTATTCTGAGTCCTTACTATAGGGGAGTTCTACTATATGGGGGTCTGTTCTAGGGGTCCCTATTTCCGGAAAACCCCCACAAGTGGTAGGGATGACGGTGGTATTGTTGAGGCTGTATTGGCGCGCCTGCTGAGCCAGCTGCTGCGCCTTGCTCACGCGCATGGCCTGGGCAGAGGCGCCCACATGCGGAGGGCTTCCGAGGCTCCCATGACCAGGCTGGACAAGGCTGAGTCTTCAAAGGCAAACCCTAAAGCCTAAACCCTTTTTGCCCTAAACCGTAAACCCTAAACCCGAAGCCCGGACCTTTCATTTCTCCAGGGCAGGTCCGCTTCTACAGGTCCAGTTCTAGCACGAGAGTCAGCCTTCAAGAGTGTGAGAATCAATTGGCGAAGGTCTCGACAACAACTCGGCGCCTCTGCCACTATGAACGCGCAGCCTACGTGTAGATTCCACAGCAGTGTCCTTTCCCTTCGAGACTCGCCCGGTGCTGTTGCACACGGCGCGCGCGTGGAACCCTAAACCCAAAACCCAAAACCCAAAACCCTAAACCCTAAACCCTAGACCCTAAACTCTCAACCCTAAACCCTAAACCCTAAGGGCTTCTTGGAAGCCAGCGCTGCTCATGAGTGCGCTCAAACAAGCCGAACAGTCGCCGGGGCCGCTATGCCGCCAGGTCTGATCTATAATCTCCCGAAGAGCCCAATACCACTGAGTTCTGCAATATACCTATCATATTGAGGATCTAGGGTTTGGGGTCTAGGGTTAGGGTTTAGGGTTTAGGGTTTAGGGTTTAGGGTTTAGGGTTTAGGGTTTAGGGTTTAGGGTTTAGGGTTTAGGGTTTAGGGTTTAGGGTTTAGGGTTTAGGGTTTAGGGTTTAGGGTTTAGGGTTTAGGGCCCAACATTGGGCTCTTTGGGCTCATCATCACGCTGAAACGGAGCTAGGCAGAGGAGGCCCCCGACATCAAAGGCGCCAGGGAATCCCCACGGCCTAACATCTCTGAACTCCTGCAAGCCGATTCGCATTGCAGAAAGCCCTGTATTTCTAAGGATTCTAAGGCTGATACTGTGTATTTCTAAGGATTCTAAGGCTGATACAAAAATCCATGTGTTGGCGGTGCCAACCTGCATGCAAGCATGACTACTGAAGGTGTGGCGGGGTGGGCATTGTCCAGAAAGGCTTTGAGCTGCTCTCCACAGTGTGTAGCATGCCGTTGAAGATGAAGTCTGTGAGCGAGTAGGAAGCTCTCTCCGGAAGGTACATGTCTTTGGAGACCCACAAGCCCAGCTCCTCCTTGTAGACGCACTTGAACCGGTAATACCGGTGGATGAAGACCCCCATAACCATGAGGGTCATCAGGAGACGTAGGGGGACCACCTGCCTGAACAAGTCGAAGACTTTGGGGCCCTTGTCATGATACCTCGGACCAGCTTCAGCGTCATCGGCACCTTCTGAATCAGGCTCGTCCCGAAGCCCCCGGATGCCGTCCATGACGTTCCGGCCGGCGTGGGTGATCATGCAGTCGTGAAGCATCTCCTCGGATGGCCCTTAAGAACCCTCGGAGACATATTCCTGAAGATGATCCTCTTAAAACTAAATAAGGGAAATATCATATACAATATAAAATATTATATATAGAACTTAATATACTTTAATATAATCTCATATAATATCATTCAATATATACATATATATGTATGTGTGTATGTGTAAAATATCCCAAGGGCCTACCTAGTCTCGTCCACGTTCAAGATGAAAGCCATCGACATGGCGCCCAGGACGGTGTCCAAGATGCCCGATGTGTCCATCAGAAGGGTCGTGCCCTCCAAGAGGACAAAGTAGCATAGCCTTGGCTAGGGGTTAGGATTCAGGGTTTAAGGTTTAGGGTTTGGGGTTCAGGGTTTAGGGTTTAGGGTTTTGGCTGACTCCTGAACAACCCCCCCCCCCCCCCCCCCCCCCCCCCCCCACCCCCCCCCAACCCCAAAAGTTGAACTTTTAGGCTCCTTATCGTGGTCGTTTCTACAAAAACCAAAAGGTTAAAGTCCTAAGAGCCAGCCAGAAGAAAGCCAAGTAGCGTCACCTTGGGGATCAGCACAGTCAGGCCCGTGATGAGCTTCCAGTGGATGGGCATGCCGGCAATACGGTAGCTAGCCTTAGCTTTGGAGTAGACCCTGGAAAAAAGTTTTTTAGCGCTAAAACGGACCCCAGAACCAAAAAATGCATTAAAGTATAGTACTCCAAGACCCAGTAGCCTTGTGCTGCTTGTCGATCTCGATCCAGTCGCACTTGTCTGGATCGCTTGGCAGGTACCAGAACATGGCGATCATGCGAAGGCAAACTTGGATCTCGTGGTTCACTGACAGGGCGAAGAGCAGCAAGCACAGCCAACGGCAGCTGCGGTTCCTTAGCTTTGGAGTAGACCCTGGAAAAAAGTATGTACTTAGGTGACTTAGGTGTAAGTAGCTAAAATAGGAACCCAGAACCAACAGAAAGTATCAAAGTACAGAACTCCAAGACCCAGGTTCTCTAGCCCATATTCTCCAGGATCAACCTTCTCGTTGATGAGGCCTTCTTGGTCTGGTAGCACATCCAGGAGCGCCTGCTTGGTGAATTTCTGCACGGCCCACTGTGTGTAGCCATAGAGTCGCGGAGGTGAAAACTGGGTCCCCCCAGGACCAGTGCACCGTGGTTGGAACGGTGCGTCTGGGCCCTTGCATACATCTAAATCTGCGCCGAAGTCGCAAAGGTGCATCTGTCCGCCCAGCGGGTTCATGATCTGGGTTGCTTCGCCCACAAACATCACTAGTGCAAATTGCACCAGGTAGTTCAGCCCCAATGCCAAGTACGCCCGGCACCACAAGGCCACAAACATCCCCCGGTAGCCAGAGCTTCTGGCAATCTGCGGGAACGCGAAGGCGCTGCCGTACACTGACTGTGTTTCCAGCTTGAAAATCGTTTGGGAACTCTCCACATCAATCCTTAATCCCTGTTCCCCTAGGAAGAACAAAGGGATCCTTTTTGTTCACATATAAGAAAGCCCATAACCCAAAAAGTAAAAAGGATCCAGAAACTGATCGAGAATCAGTCCCTGAGCCGCCTTGCCGATGCCATCTGAACGCTGATCATTGCCGTCTTCGCCTCGCACGGCCAAGACAGATGCTGCCATGGCCAAGAAGCGGCTGTGTGGGAGAAGAAGGGGGAGACTGAAACAAGGAACACAGCAACCCTAAACCCTAAACCCTAAACCCTAAACCCTGTGCTTCTTCACTGCGCCTTCCAGGTTGCAAGTTTGATCCTAATTTGATTTCGTCGGTCTGTTCGATGCAGTTTTGAGAGCCCCGATCTTGGGCCGGCTCGGACGGCGCGGGCGCAGAGCACGTGGAAGCCTCTAGGCGCCACAAGGACTGAGGAGCCGCTCCCTAGACGCTTTGCACCAAGCCTGAAAAATTCGCAATCTCAGAACCACTGAATCTTGAAGCCGTGTCACCCTCTCGCCGCTAACCCTCATGCCCCGCACCCGAATCCCCCCCACCACCACCAACCCTAAACCCTAAACCCTAAACCCAAACCCTAAACCCTAAACCTCCTGCCTCCTCGCGCTGCCTCGCCAAAGCCTGGAGGGGCTCGCAGGCACCTGCGACCTCTTGGCTGAGCGAGGGCCCCCTCCTCATGATCCGTCTGGGTTTAGGGTTTAGGGTTTATGATTTAGGGTTTAGGGTTTCGACGGGTTTAGGGTTTAGGGTTTAGGGTTTTTTTTGCCACCCGACTAGCCACAGCATTGCGGGGTTTGGGGTTTAGGGTTTAGGGTTTAGGGTTTAGGGTTTAGGGTTTAGGGTTTAGGGTTTAGGGTTGAGGGTTTAGGGTTTAGGGTTTAGGGTTTAGGGTTTAGGGCCACAAAGAGCCCAATATCCCTTAATTCGGGAGTATTGCTTATATATATATATATGTATATATATATATATATATGTATATATAGATGGACCCTCAATATGGTTTAAGGTACATTCCTTGATTAAGGAGTCTTGGGCTCCCTGGGAAGTCCCCTTTGCAAGGGTTCTTATAGGTAAGGCTCCCTCCCCAAGTCTCACAAGTCTTCTTGTGGGATTCTTAGGTAAGGCTTGCGAGCCCCCAAACGAAAGCCCTCGCTGACTCAGGCGCACGTCGCCAGTGTGAGCGGATGCCAGCGCATTCATGCCCGCACAATGACTATACGTCCATGACACGAGCAGTACTTAAGCAGCAGGTACATGAAGCCCGATGGCACCATTGGTCATCGGATGGCACTTGGAGTCAACATAGTTGGCCCCAAAAACCGGTCACAAGATCGTGGCCGAATCTTGCTTCGACTGCGGGATTTGGTCTCAAAAGATGCGAATTCGCTGCGCCGGCCATAGTTCCCTGCATTACCCCTGGCCTCCTCTTAAACGACGTTTGGCTTTGGGGGTGCCTTAGGCAAGTTTAGGATTCGGTTGGGTTTCTTTCCAAGCAACTCGGCAGGGTTTATTTCGGAGGCGACACTAACCAGCAACCAGGCCCCAATTTTTTAGGGTTTAGGGTTCAGGGCCGACCCTTCGGAATCGGTCCAGCAGGCGTTCGGAATGGTCCCAGGGTGGCTTAGGCAGAACATGGAGAGGGCAGAATGTGTCGGACTCGGTACGAGATGTTGGAACTTTAACAGTAATCTATGCTTTGAGAACCTCTGAGTTCAACCAAAAAAAGGCTATAAACGGGAACCCTAAGACCACTACGGGCCCGGGCAGTGCTTTGTTCACCTCTCCCTGTGCGCCTTGGCCACGGCACTCTTGGTGGTCCCGACTGCCGACTCCGCTTGGGCCTCGAGACAGGCAGACAGCTTTGCTGTGGTTAGCTTGGATTTCGGTCATGTAGAGGTCTTAGGGATTAGAATAGGGTCTTGAGGGTTATGATAGTATGAATATATATATATATATACATAATATATATATATATAAGGGAATACTATTCGTAATTATTCCAACCCCGATATTATGGTGGGGGAGTTCGGGTCCCTAAATCCAACCCTGAAGCCTTCAGGGCTTAAGCAGCCGTTGGCGCCTGAGTCGACAAACAAGCATTGCTGAAGCGACATCCCCACCGTGGAAGAACATCCTGAAAATGCGAGCTGCTGTATGACTAAGCCCTAAACCCTAAACCCTAAACCCTAAACCCTAAGCCCTCAACCCCAAGCCCTAAACCCCACTCCCTAAGCACAAGTCTTCCTAAGCCCCTTTGGGGGGGGAGGAACCTGGGAACACAGGTCACTCAGCTTCACTCTTCGAGCCCCACTGTCCACCTTACCCAAAGAGCCCAATATCCCTTAATTAGGGAATATTGCTGAATTTATATAGGGATCCTTAATATGACTTAAGGGATATTCCTTAATTAAGGGATATTGGGCTCTTTGGGTACGCCTCTCCAGTCCCGGCCGTAGCCCCTGACAGCCCCCGTGCCGCCAGGATAGCTTGGGTTCATGGTGGAAGGCTTTGGGGCACAACTGCATCAAGGGCGTTGGCCCCTAAACCCTAAACCCTAAACCCTAAACCCTAAACCCTAAACCCTAAACCCTAAACCCTGAACCCCAAACCCTAAACCCTAAACCCTAAACCCTCAACCCTAAACCCAAACCCTATGAGGGCAGCTTCAGGCTTCTGAACTGCTTGGGAGGGCTTAAGCCAGAGAGGCTTGGCTTGCTCCCTCTGCCCAGAACAGTGAAACAAGCCTTCTCTCACTTTCGGGCTTCGGGTTTCGGGTTTAGGGTTTAGGGTTTACCTAGGGCGAAAAAACCCTACATCCTTGGGGCGAGAAGCGAGGATCTGGTCACCGATGGACGCCGCTTCGTTGAAGAGCTCGTTGGACAGTTGCTGCATCCTGCCGCGGGGTGGGGGAAACTTCTTTTCTGCTACAGGTTTAGGGTTTAGGGTTCTTCTTTTGCCAACCGTCTGGCCAGAGTTTAGGGTTTAGGGCTTCGGGTTTAGGGTTTAGCATTTAGGGTTCAGGGGGGGTCGGGGGAGTTTGGGGTTTAGGGTTTGGGGTTCCCCTTTGAACCGAAACCCTCAACCCTGATAGGTGTTGGAGCTACGTTTGGGAGTGAACGACTTGATTGAGCTCAACCCCAAACCCTGACCTCGGATGATCTAACGATGACTGTATCGGGCCCCACTGCCTAGCGAAAAAGGCCCTAAACCCTACAACCCTAAACCCTAAATCCCAAAACCCTAACCCCACCCCACGCACAAAAAGTGAAACACTAAACGACCAAACAACCCTTGAACAACCTTAACGCCCTAAAGCTCGTGTGCGAACATCTTCTTGCAGTTCCAATCCGCACGACTACGAAAACAAGCGGTTTCGCAGGTTTCAACTGTCTTTGTGGCTTTTGGGATTTCGGGTTTAGGGCTTCTGGCATGGATGACATCGCCATTCACAAGTTTGGCATCTAGAGCCCTGAGAAAGCTGCCATGTTCAATCCGGCCAGCAAGGCTTTGGCCCAGGTACAATTTAGGGTTTAGGGCTTAGGGTTTAGGGTTTAGGGAGTTCAGTTCCAGACCAGGAAGGACACCGCCATCATGAAGCAACTCCTCTTTCTCTGGGCCTTTGAAACACGCGTCCCGTGTCCTAGAAAACCTTAACCCTAAACCCTGAACCCCAAACCCTAAACCCTAACCCTAAATCCTAAGTCCCCTCCACCCTTCCCCCCAGCAAGGCGTGCAAGCGTGCAAGGCTTCACCAAACCTGCTGCTGCTGCACCTGCATCGGAAGATTGCCGGACTTTGCGATTCAGGCTGAGGATGCTTGAGGAGTCAGGGAGTTCGAAGCTCGAGGAGCCCCTAAACCCCAAACCCCAAACCCTAGACCCTGGACCCTAAGCCCTAAACCGGAAACCCTCAACCCTAAACCTAAACCCTAAACCCGAACTCTCAAGTCTAAGGGTCGATACATGGTCCCTTAGTTCTATGTCCCTTATACGCCCCATAAACCCAAGGGCCCATACTCCAGAACCCGCTAAAGAAGGTAAGGGACCGTATCAAGGGATCATGTAGCTACCCTTAGATATGGGGCTTTACGAAACTAGGGAACCCCAATATAGATCCTCACATAGCAGGATTCGCAGAAAACAAGGACCCCAGTAAGGCACCTTCCGAACCCTCAAGAAGGTAAGGGACCATAGTAAGGGACCATGTCCGAGCGGTCCAGCGCGCTCCGGTGCCTCAAGAGTGCGCTCGCTGGGCGTTGCAGCGCGCGATCTCTGCTGGTACTCCTCGAAGACTCGGGGCTTAGTGGGTTTTAGGGTCTAGGATTTAGGCTTCTAGAATTTTAGGTTTTAGGGCATTAGGGTCCAGGGTTTGAGGGTTTTAGGGTTTAGTGCTTTTAGGGTCTAGGGCTCAGGGCTTCTACGGGTTGGCTGAAGGTTGAGGATTTGGGCTTTCGGGTTTGGGGCTGACACGCTTCCTGCGCGCAACTCTCGAAATCAGGGCCCCTTTTTGGGAGGCTCTGTCAAGACCCTGTACCCTAAACTTCTAAACCCTCCGGCCAAACCCCATACCCTAAATCCTTAACCCTACACCCTAGATTTTCAACGCTTCTTTGGGTTGCAAACGGAAAGGAGGTCTCCCATTCCCCAGACCCTGACACCCATCAAGACAAGGGCTTTGCCCAGGGCTTTCGACGCACTACTGTCGAACCTAAGCAGTCAGGCGATGGCCCATCTTCTCTGGGTTCAGGGTTTTGCCCTAAACCCTCAACACTCCTACCCAAGGAGCCCAATACTCCCGTTTTCAAGTAAGCAATATGCCCTACTTAAAGGACATGGGGCTCTTTGGGTACAGCTGGGGCTTTGGTGTTACTTGGCCGGATCTTGGGCTGAGGGTCCCTTACGAAAAAACTCTGCTGGGGCATCCTTGCCTGAGACTGAGTGGCCTTCTCGAGCACCAGCTCGGCCTGTCGCCACTTGAGGAGGGGATAGGGTTTAGGGTTCAGGGTTCAGGGTTTAGGGTTGTTGGGGCTTGGGGATTAGGGTTCCGGTGCGAGCGAGGGGGCGAGGGGTGGGGAGGCGTTAGTACTACCACTGAAGCCAATGCGTCTTGCCTTCGTTAGCTTATGGGATGAAGGTTCTGCAGGGCTTAGGTAGGGTTCAGGTCTTGGGAGAGATCTTGTCCTGACCCTTTGGCCTTTCAGCACAGCTTTGCGTGATCATTTGCTTGCAGACAACACGGGCAACACCAGGATCGTTGATCAGATTATGCCTGCCCAAAGGTCGAAATGCCCCTTGGCCCCAAGCCCTCAACCTCCTGAGCGCTAAGGCCGGAGAGGTAAGGCTGTGCAAGCCTTAAACCCTTTTGTTTTTGGCCGCTTGAACTCTCCTAGGACCTTATCGGTACATGCTTCCCCTTTCAATCCTAAGACAGAGAGACCGCATCGGTAAAAGTATTCTGAGCAGATTGCATTGGCCCTTTTACTTGGGAGAGGGGACAGAGGAGTAAGAATTGGGTTGACTTCGAGTAGAGACCACCCAAGTGCCTTACTATGTCATGAGAGCTTTTTCTGGGTTGAGGGTTTTTGGGTCCCCCCCCTCCCCCCCCCCCGAGCTTTTTCGCACGCTCCGCCCTCACTTGCTCCTGTCTTGCTTCTCCTTCTTCCGATCCTGGCGCGAGGGACAATCTTCACCCCCCAGAACCCTCAGCTTGAATGTCAGAGAGAGGCCCAGACACCCAGAGTCTTAAGTACCCGGCGAGCATGGAGTCAACCCTAAACCCTAAACCCGAAAACCCTGAACCCTGAGCCCTAAACCCTTTTGCAGAAGGTCTCCTCTTCTCCCTAAACCCTAAACCCCAAACCCTAAACCCCAAACCCTAAACCCTAAACCCTAAACCCCAAACCAAAAGCTTCTGCAGAGTCATTCCCTCCCAGGGCACCGAGGCCAGGTGAAGATGATATAAATCACTCTTGTGGATTTGAAGACAACTAAACCCTAAACCCTAAACCCTAAACCCTAAACCCTAAACCCTACAGGTCCTTTGGCTTCTCCTCCACATCCTCCTCCGCAGGCGCCGCCGCCCTGGACCTCGACTTGCCATGACTGGCCCTACAACTAAACCCTAAACCCTAAACCCTAAACCCTAAACCCTAAACCCTAAACCCTAAACCCTAAACCCTAAACCCTAAACCCTAAACCCTA